CTACCTACCCACCGAACTACTGACCGCACATAAGCCACACGCCGGTGAGTTATTAGTTGGGTGGGTGACCACCAGCGAATCCTCACTGTTGCACGTTTTCATCTTTTTTTTGTTGTTTTTTCCTATTTCGTTCAGAAACTCTCTTCATGCTTTTTGTAGGTAATATGCTTTTTTGGTTAAATAACCTTCTGATTTTAAGAAGGTAGACGAGGTATATCTATCGCATTTGGTGTCTCTGTCCTCAGATTTAATATCTCTAAAAAAAATAGAGAAAGATTATATGATTTCAAGGACTTTAGCCAGTTTATTAGATACTATAAATTTTTAAAGTAGGTTCAAGTAAATAGTTATAGCGTTATTATAATAAGCCGAACATTAAGTAACACTTTATAGTATAGTGCTAAATTAAGGCTTCGTGAACACTTGAAATTGTTGTGGTTTCTCGATCCATGTCTGATCTTGCGTGGCCAGGATCTGTTGTAGCAGTGAAATCTCGATGTGGGGGATAGGATGATTACTCTGGCCCAATTACAGATCATGCAAGACACAATGTCGGCATAGATGTTTGTGCCAAGCGGGAATGATGTAGCTGACGGCAAAGCATAGAGTCGCACCCAAAGGGAGAAACGTTGCAATTCAAATCAGCAAAGCAAAGGCCTTTCTTTGATAGAGGCCTGTAAAAGCAACGAAGCGTAAAGTCCGTCATAATAAAAAAAGCATCCATTTAGGATGAGATAATCTCAAAAGAGCGATTATGTATCACCAATTGTGTGTGCATTTAAATTTCGATTGAAATTGACTAATGAGCCTTAATTGAGGTGTTGTCTTGTTTCCTTCATGAAGCTTGAGACAGAAAACTGGAGCCCGCAAATTAACAGCGAGATACTACTACAGCACCTAATTTTTCCTCTTAATCTTTTATTCAAATATCAGAGCTTAAAAGTAGAAAAGTCCATCTCCAAAAAAGGCAATTTCTGCTTTTTTGGCCATCAAACCCCCAAAAAATTTATAAAACACATGACAAGGCCGCAAAAGTGGCTGAGTGTTTCTGTAAATAAATTCTAGTATGGCAACAATTCCTTAATATTCATTGCAAATCTCCTACGGAGTATTACATACATCTTACGCCAACAATCTCGTAATGTATCAGCGCATAGCTAAACGTTCGCAAAAGCCAAGCACTCCATTTTAGATTTTCATATTCTACTCGGATTCATCGACCCAATACACTAGCTTGGAGGTTCGGACTTTGCCTTCCCGCAGAATCTGAAGACCGGCCAACACTCCAGCCAAGCCGCCTGGCTTCACCTGATATGGATGAGGATGAATGCGGCGCTCCTCAAGTAGTTTCTGCGCTACTTCCCACCATTTGATGCCGAACTCAAGATCAGTACTATCAGGAGATATGCTGTTCGTTCCCATGCAGTAAGGCTCTCCCAGGATATCATACGCCATCGAGACATGCGAATCAACGTCCTCTCGCGCTGATGATACATCCAACAGGGCATTGTAGGAGCCGCCTGCGGACGAAATGGCAGCACTGCAGATGGCAGCAGATTGCGGCGTAGAGATTGTATCAAGAACAAATTCCAGAGTATCATCAGTATCCTCTCGGATCTGTTCGCCCACTAGGGGATCGTGGTAATCAAAAACTGCGTCTGCCCCAAGTTCAAACATGAAGCTGCGATTGGCTTCGGAGCATGTTGTTACCACTCGCAGTCCCGATAATTTTGCTAGCTGAATAGCAAGGGTACCGGTAGCCGTTGCGCCTCCATAGATTAGGATACTTGTGTCGCCCGACTCGCTCGCCTGGTCGCCGGGGATGGGCAGTTCCATGCTCTGGTAAAGATTTTAACCAACGGTTGTTAAACCAACACCAATGGTGACTGCCGCCTCAAAGCTCATGGACTCAGGTATCAGGATTTGGAGGTCGCCCTTCGCAATCACATACTGAGCAAATGCGCCACCATTGAGGCGAACGGCATTGCTACCATGTACGAAGCCAGCAACTCGATCACCCTTTTTGAAAGCCTTGTTGACGCTCCGACCTATGGCTTCTACTATTCCCGAATAGTCGCAGCCCACGGTTGCCCCGGTACAGGGCACGAAATCAATATGGCGCCAGTCCGTTGGATTCAAAGCGACTTGATACTGTGTTAGTCCGGCTGTTCTTGAATGGAGGAAACGAAGAAGAAGGAAAAAATACCAGCTTTAGTTTTGACGAGAATGTAATCGTCCGGCAACACAGGGAGGGGGACATTTTCTGCCAGCGTCGCACAGCCAGGTCCTTGGACAATAATGGCGCTTTGAGTGGTCATTCTCAACAGACCTTGCGACGTGATGGGAAACTAATGGCGCGAGGGAGGCGTGTTATAGCTCGAATGTTGTAAGATAAATCGTACAAAATGCAAAGCGGGTTTTGCCAAATCGAGGTTTTATTGCACTTCATGTGATATTCTCCTCGCGATTTGTCAGTAGGGTGATCCAGGCTTCCAAGCGAGATTGAATCATCAGATATCGAACATCATTATTGTCGCATGATCATCTTAACTAGCATATTTCGTGTAGCTTATGGGATCGTCGGAATGCATGTAAAAATGCGCTCTAGGTTTCGGTGGTCTGCGTAGAGAGAAGGGGTAGGCAAGCGTTGGTAAAGCCTAAACTGCGATTGTAAAATACGCTTCGTCGTACAGAAGACCACTTTGCGAAATTGCGATCCGGTACGATGCCAGTAGTAGTCTCCTAGTTGCCGCAGCTAAATTTCACCGGTGCAAGATTGCAACAAAATGAGAATAGCTCTAGAGCTAGCCTTCCAGAGAGCCCCAAATGTTATGTTGGTGTTTTCCAAAATACATCCATGCACAAAGGAAGGGTGACACAGTTATCTGCCGAATTCGAAATGTAGAAATTGTCTCAAGTACTGGGCTTAGAATAGAAAGTGGGTTCTCCACTGCGGGACCTCAGACTACAACACAAAGAAAGAAATTTTGATGGGCGATGCGATCTTCGGCTGCGAAAATTGGCTGTCGAGAGTGGGCCATGCGTGCTGATAGAGCAGGGAAGAACGGACAAGCTTGAAATACGCTGATACTGGTAATCAGCTGTCACGGTACAATTTCTGTGTGCACATAGTCCATCATGAGGCATTGACGATCCAGTTTGCTGATCTATTGAGCACAAAACCCCCACTTAGCAGATCATTACTTCAGACACATCAAGCTCTTGGATCGAAAAACTCCAAGCATGGGCGAACTTGGAACTCTCAAAACACAGACCCAAATAGGCGATATCAGCTCCTCTCGCGTACCTCAGCGCTTATCATACTCTCCCGAGTCGGTCGCCTCAGCTTAAGTTCCTTGGTACTTTTAGTTGGATCAATTGGTCAACCCCTTCTGGCCATAATAGACTATGCTCTTGCCTTGAAGATGATGCAATCAATCGTTGCTACTGAGTCTGTAGATACTACTGAGGGATTTTGCACTCGCTAGCCGGTATTGAAAGCTCAAATTCTGGGCATTCACGGTAGCCAAAGAATTTGGAGTTGACGCTAGTATTTGCTTCCTTGGCGGGTATCCGGGTCGGACTGCTGCAAGGTGTCTAGTCCAAGGACGCCAGTACATGATATTGTCTAGTGAGATGAATTTGAGTCCTCTTCCAGAAAACTTCATCGACAGTGGCTGCACTTTCTCTTCACCTCAACTGCAGAAAAGTTCTCAGAGAAACCCAGTAACCTCCATGCTTCAGTTCGGCACGTGATTGAGTTCATGAAGCAGCATCGGATGTTGGATTAAGTGGAATCTTATTCCATATTCCCTATTTGTGATTTCCAAGGAGCTTTAAAACATTGCAAGGCCACCAACACACCAGCTATCGTGGACCTTCAGGCTCCTGGAAGGGTCCCTATTGTGCCGCCGCTCCCAGGTCTTGTTGGCTTGCCGGATGAAGGTACATATATCCTAGCAGGTGGATTGGGCAATCTAGGCCTTGCGCTTGCTGATACTGGTTTTCCTTGGAAGATCTGGCGGGTCACAACCTATTCAGCAGCTCGTCCTTGATCTTCTTCACAATCGTGGATGCCGCACCACTGCAATAGGCTACGATATCTCCCAACAAGAAGACGTTGACCACCTATCATACAAGTTTCGCAGCAAAAGATGGAACTTAGCAGGCGTGATTCGGTGTACAACAGTTCTAAAGGTGATTTTATCCTCATATCCATTTTTCCTATTAGAGCTATCTAATTCCATCCTTAATTTTCCGGACGCAATTCTTTCGAACATGGATTTTGATCAATGGCCACAGTCCACACAATACAAGATCTACGGGACGCTAAACTTGCACCAACTGTTTACGGAGAAGGAGGGCTTGGCTTTTTTCGGGGCATTATTTTCCGTGGCCAGTGCCATTGGCAATATAGGACAGGCTAACTAAACGGCGGGCATTGGTTTCATTGATGCTCTCATGGCATTAAGTTGGTTCCCTTGGAGCTACAGCCGTGCAAAACTGAGTCTCTCGTGAACTCAGGGCAGACCTATCCGAATTTTTTTGGCTCTCAACCGGCTAAAGCGTTAGCGAGGAAAATTGCATCCGCTATTTCATTTGTTTCCGTGCCGAGCTGAAGAGTTCTCTGATAATGTATACTAGGATCTAAGTATGCATTAAGATCATCTTTTCCTAGTTCTTTCTTTTTAGGGTTTCTCATTTTTGAATAGTTTCAACATTTCACTACATTTGTTTTTTACTTACATTACGTTCTGCGTACAAAACAAACGAAATTGTTGCCATTGCAATCCATGTTACGGCTGGGAATTTCACTACGAAAACATTGAACCAAAAATGAAAAATAAAACAAAAAATGGCAAAGCTCATATCTAATAGGTGCCATGGTCTAGTGGTATGACGACACATTGTGGTGTACAATGATCTGTGTTAGCCCCGGTTCGATTCCGGGTGGCGCCAAAGTTTTTTGCCCCTTCTTTCCTATCTCTTTTAAAACATCTCTTCCTCCATGATCATCTAAGTCTCTAAGAAGAGTAGTTGTTTTGGCGTAGATTAGGAATTAGATGTAACACTTCGCATATCGGATCTGATGTTTTTATTGCACATGGCTAAGGTGGTAGATAAATGCAACTTATGAAGTCAATACATTTTTCCTATTTAATATGATTTGACATGCTTACCTTCAAACATCAAGTGTGAAACTAGATCAACCAAGCGCCGGTTAACAAATAAACAAAATTACCAAGGCAACATCTTCAAATATCATTGAACTAAAAGAATCCAAAAAAACTTTGGCGCCACCCGGAATCGAACCGGGGCTAACACAGATCATTGTACACCACAATGTGTCGTCATACCACTAGACCATGGCACCTGATGGGTGGAGAATCGGGCTTTTTAGAACTTATGATCTACTTTTGTTTTTAACCAACTCGGTAACTAGAGTGTGAATAAAACAGTGTAGGGTTTCTCTTGTGGAGACCTACATAGGTGAAACCCTACTTTTATTCCATGCTATTTTCTATGGCTTTATGAAGCATTGACTAACTGCTACGAGTCATATGTGCCTGCTATAGATCATCTTAAAAAGGGCTCGTTTTATTTCGAAAGTTGTTTTGAGCAGTCATCGAACAAAGAGGAGAAGATGTTCATGTTGTAGCATTCGCAATCTGGTGTCAAGCTTCGTTGGCGTTCCTTAAATATGGAGCAATGACAGAAATTCGCATGATCTATTCTACAATGTGTCAATCTTGGATTTTTCCAGGGCTCGTATGTTGTATCAGAACAGTATCCACCAAATGATTCACATGTCACACACCGAAAGAGAAATGTGGAAATGATCCCATACGACAAGCAGAACAAAACGTGCTAACAAAAAGATCGTGAAGATGGGATCTGGACAATGGATGCAAAATATGAAATTAGGGTCCTATTCCTGGACTCGCTGCTTCCTCCAAGTCAAGAAGACAACATAGTACATCTCCGCATTTTCGTTATGATGGGTGAGATTTCCAAGACTTATGTCGCCGCTTGTGCCCGAGTTGGATTGATGATCAAATGGCACCAACGCCGGGGCCGTATGAGCCGGGTCTTGTTCCGGGCCGGGTTGCGATTCCAACCCGGCCTCAGTATCAACCGGCCATGCAGGTGTCTGTCTTTTCAAATCCGCCTCTTTCGCCCCAGACCAAGTATATACGCTCTTCGACTTGGGCTCAGCAACCAGATACAAGCTCTTGTCAGCCTGTATGGGAAATTTCCACTCGAGAGCTTGTTGTATGATGGCATTTAGCTGGTCCCTCTTCCGCATAATTGTCTCGAACTCGATGACCAACTCCTCAAGACAAGGAAGAGAGCTAAATTGATTCCCCCATGATCGCGCTGCGGATTGTGGGGAAACAACCTGGCCCATATCGGCAGCGCAGGTTCTCCCAGGCCGGAACGGATCGATGCCTAGAAGCTCATCGTTCTCCCAGTACCACCAGTCCGTATGGCGAAACGTGATGGTCATTTTCTTCGGAGCGATGCTGCACCCCTTGCGTAAATTGCTCCCGTCGTCGCCTATCTTTAGCCCGTCCCATATCTGAGACCAATGATCGTCTTCTAGAAAATACTGCTGAGTGAACAGGTGTAAATGCTGCACCTGAGCCCGCTGTTTTGGGGCCATCTTGCGAAAATAATTCAGCGGTGACGAGGCATCCTTGACATGTGGCGGAGATCGATAGAACCAAAATGTATGTTCATTTACTGCCGATGGGAGGAGGGACGCCTCAGCGTAGATTTGCTGGCATGTCTGGAGGAGTGCAGTCTGGATGCGCTTGGGCTGCTTGTATCCGGGCCGGTAGTAGAAAGCATTTTGCTTATAGAGGGAGCGAGAACGGTCGTCTGTGAGAACATCCTCGGACTCAAGGGCAAACGTATAGATGCGATTGCGGATTTCGGCGGGAAAGACGGTAAATAGAGGAGATGTCAATGGAGCTGCAGGTAGAGATGGAATAAGGTCCTGGAGAGTCTCCATTTTCTGTACACGGCGCCATTTTAATAGTCGACTCGAACGCATGTTGTGGGTGGAGTTACGGGCACTTGAAAGAGCAGACCTATCGATTTATATCCACACGACCCCGCCTGGTCTGGATAGTTTAGCTTGTTTAGCTAACCCCGCTAACAGCTAGAATAACACCTCATTCGCTGCCAAAAACCCAGTGTGCAAAGAGCTTGTTTGATTGGGGGATCTGCCAGTTAGCCTCGTGGGTGCCTAGAAATGTCTCAATGGTTGAGCCGCAATGATTTATAAAAGACAGTCTCTGTCATTAGTGGTTGGTAGCGTACACTCTGCTATTGCATCGAGTATTAAGAACTTTTAGTATTAAAAAGAATTAAAAAAGCATCGACTTCGGAGGTACAAAAAAAAAGATCCAAGAAAAAAAAACTGGCGCCACCCGGAATCGAACCGGGGCTAACACAGATCATTGTACACCACAATGTGTCGTCATACCACTAGACCATGGCACCTATTGGGATATCTTAATTCCTCTTTTTAATTTCTTATATTACCTCATCAACTAGATCCACTTTGTGCTCCTCATTCATAGGTTGCATAGTGGAGCACTTGCTTATTTATAAATTTACACACTTTTTACCACTTAGCCCAAATAGTATGCACTTATTATCAAGCCACAAAGTCCTTCTTTTCTTCCACACAATTCTTGTACAGTCCGTACCGAAACATGAAGCTGGGCTGAACGGAGAAATATTTCTCCAAGCCGAATTTCGTACCTCCTAAGGAAGGGGCCGACGCTCTCACAGTTGCATCCGTTCCTGATTCAAAGCGAACCACGTTCAAGATACTGTACTTCGGATAATGTCCACAGTGCAGGAAAATGGATTTGCAAAGGGGCTGAAAACCCGCCGCTTGCTTCGTCGGGAGATCACTTACGATGATGCACTAGATAACGACAGCAATATGCTCCTGCAGCTGGGTTACAGAGATCAAAAGCTAAAGCTCTACCTTTATCTTCATCGACAACGAATGCAAATTGAAACCATTGTCGCCCATCATCTTGGAATCTCCGTCGACAGATGCACTGTTGTTGATGTCGAGGACTGGATGCACGGAAGCTTCAACGTCTGTCTTCAAGTGAATATCGATATAAATGGCCAAGAGTGTGTTCACGATAAAGGAGGTATTCCTGGGAAGCAATACATAATTCGATTCCCTCTGCCATTTCGGATTGGAGAAAACTTTTGCCCAGGCAACGCAGATGAGAAAGTCCGCTGCGAAGCTGCGACCTATGCATGGCTCCAAGAGAATTGTCCTACCGTTCCTATCCTACAACTTTACGGGGTTGGCCTGTCGAACGGCCTGTCTTTTACCGTACTTGATAACCTGCCTCTTTTTACTCGAAGTTTGCACCGTCTACGCCGTCTATTCTCATACTGGTTAGGCTACCCGACCCCGTCACTATATGTCCCCCATAAACAACAGAGACGTAAAGAGCAGGTCAGGCTCAACACTCCTTATCTGTTGATTGAATACATCAAACCGTCGCAAGGAAAGATGCTTTCAGAAACATGGGAGCAAGGACGCCATGATCCGGAATTACGCTCTGTATTTTTTCCATGGACTCTCACGTATCATGTTGGCGTGAAAGAGGGTCTCTTCCCAACATCAGATGTTCTTCGACTTGAATTGATGCCTGAAGGCACCAAGGCATCAAGGTACCAGAAGTACCGAGCCACGTGACTGGGGCGAAATCTCCCTTTAGACCAATCAGAGGCCCGAAAAATCTAATTTGAGAAGCGGCTCCGCCACTTTTTTTTTAAATTGCTTCTATCAAAGTCAAAACCCGATCAGATGCTCAATGGCCGATCACGACCTTGAAGGCAATCAAGAAAAACATAGCAATGGCGAGTCACCCCAACAGCCAGAATTGCAGCGAAGGCTCAAAAGCCGACATCTACAGATGATCGCAATGGGTAAGAACTCTGACCCTATCCACATATTTGTTCTTATTCTTATTCTTATCTTTTTCGTAGGAGGTGCCATCGGCACAGGTCTTTTTATAGGTAGTGGGAGTGCCATTGCTACTGCAGGCCCTGTTGGCGCCCTAATTGCATTCACCTTCCTTGGATCAATCGTGTTTTCAGTCATGATCGCCTTGGGTGAGGTGGCCACCTACCTACCGATCCCAGGAGCCTTTGCCACATATGCGACGCGCCTGGTCGATCCTAGCTTAGGCTTTGCGATGGGTTGGATTTACTGGTTTTCATGGGCCTCGACATTTGCCCTGGAGTTGACTGCCACTGGCCTCATCATACAATATTGGGATGACACGATCCCAATGGCGGTATTTATTGCCGTGTTTTGGGTTATCATTATCATACTGAATATGTTTCCTGTGAGCTGCTACGGTGAAGTTGAATTTTGGCTTTCAAGCATCAAGATCATCACCGTGGTCGGGTTTATGATATTCGCGATTTGCATTAATGCCGGGGCTGGTAGAGAGGGTTATCTGGGATTCAGATACTGGGTGCATCCAGGCCCATTCCGCCCTTATCTAATTGAGGACTCTGGACAAGATGCTCTGGCTAAGTTTGTCGGATTCTGGGCCATTTTGATCAAAGCTGGGTTTTCATACCAAGGCACCGAGCTTGTCGGTATTGCTGCGGGTGAAACAGAAAACCCTCGAAAGAACATCCCCTCTGCGATTCGCAAGACCTTTTTTCGGATCGTGTTTTTCTTTGTGTTTACGATTTTCTTCGTCGGCATCGTCGTGCCATCTAATGACAAACGCCTTACGTCTGATGACAGCGGTACAAATGCGGATGCGTCCCCCTTTGTCATTGCTGCAAAACGTGCGGGTGTCAACGTCCTGCCTAGTATTATCAATGCAGTCCTGCTCACAGTGGTCCTTTCCGCTGCCAACTCGAACGTATATAGCGGCAGTCGAATTCTCGTCGGCTTGGCCCATGAGGGGTTCGCTCCTCGCCTTTTCTTGAAAACAACCCAACACGGCGTGCCCCATGTGAGTGTGGGCTTCACAGCACTCTTTGGCCTACTGGGCTTCCTCAATGTATCAAATTCCGGAGCCACCGTTTTCAACTGGTTGATCCAGATTGCTGGCCTAGCCGGTTTCATTACCTGGGCATCTCTTAACATTTGCCATCTTGCCTTCATGAGAGCGTTGGCTGCGCAAGCCATTCCACGTGCTACTCTCCCATATAAGGCTCCCTGGCAACCTTTTTTCTCTTGGTATGGCTTGTTCTTCAACTCGCTTATCATCATCACGCAGGGCTTCACTGCTTTCATTCCGACATTCAGCGTTACCGACTTTTTCATCAACTACCTCAGTCTGATCTTGTTTGCCGTACTATACATTGGCCATAAGGTTGCTTTTCGGCCGACGTTTGTGAAGCCTGCCGAAGCTGATATTGACACTGGGCGATGCGAGGAATAAGGGTGGATGAATGGTTAGGTACGGCGCATGTGAAAACAAGGGTGTTTTAAATGATGATTTAGATCTACAGAGTGTACAAAATTGAAACACTTTAAATGTTTCTAATATTACCTTTCAAACTACACCCGATGGAAGATGGATACTATGTTTTTTTTTAATCAGTCACATTGATGCGTTTCGACCACCTTATTTTTTAAATAGAGTTCCAAAATATAATCTGTCATGGATAACCCAGTGGAAGGCTCACCGCCATGCCAGTTACCCTGCTTCGGCCTTGGCCAGCAGGAAAGGTGCCTGGTACGAATCCTGGGGTTGGCATTTTCACTCGTGTGAGTAGTCCACGACGCTGGAAGCCACTAAGCAATGGAGATGACCCTTGAGGGAAGCAATTCTGCAGAGACATTTCCACCCTGGGATGGCGTCACTAGATTACATCTTCCTGTTACAGGAAAGTTGGCAATTTGGTGGGACAACTACTATTTTTTATTTTTTTTGGTGTTTTCTTTTCCTCAAAATACTCACTGTCTTTCTATCTTTACTTTCATCTTTCCCAACTCCCTCTATTTCCCCCAGGAACATCGTGACCTTCATGTGAACATCAATTGAAATACCACCGGTTGAACACGCTAATCATAGCATGATAAAAATGTACAAAGAAAACCTTGGAAGAAAATCTGAAAAATAAAGAACCCTCTACCAGTCTTCCACACATTATAAAATTGGAACACGCAAACCCATCAAGGCGTCCCCATATGAGTCTCATACGATGCATGCCCCGAAGTATTCTGTGTCTGCTCCAGGAGCACAGCATAAAATTTCCCTTCTTCTGAGATATCCCGGTAAGGACCTGCAGAGACGACGGCCCTGAAACGATTCAAATTAGCATCCATTTTTACATCCGAATGATACCAGACAGCGAAGGAAAAAAAAAGGAAAGACTCAAAAATTCTACCACATACCATCCCTTATACTTCGGCTGATTAAAGATATCCGTAAACACCCTCAGCACTCGCAACGGCAACTCCAGAATGGAAGGCATCTCGGGCCCATCGCCACAGATGGGTAACCCCAGCTTGTTGACGGGAAGGTAGATGGTCTCTGCGACGTTTTGCGGGTTGCGCGTCTCCTGGAAGATGAGGAGACGGCGCGAGGCGTGTGATTGCGGTCCGCCTCCGGGCGGTGGCCTGGCGTTTGCGCTTGCGCTCATGTTCATCGCGAAGGTTTTTTGGGTGTGCAGGGTGCGCAACAAGTTTTTGCGAAGGTCCGTGTTGGATTTTCTTTTTCTTGGACTTGGTGTTTGGGGGGATGGGTTGTTCAGTTTGGCTGTATTTTTTGGGTTTTTGGATTTTTTTTTCTTCCTTGAACGCTTGCCCTGTGTCTCTGGGTTTGAGATTTCGAAATAACGTGGTTTGCTCTTGCGGGTTTATTAGTATGGTCACTTTGCATTTACTTCACCGAGAGCTTCTTACTATTTGTCGACAATGGCGTGTGTGGAGGGCGCGACAGGCTCTGCTTATCGTTGGGCGATCAGTGTCCCGATTAGGAGATCGCGGGGCAAAAAAAAGGGGAATTTTGGAGAAATGCGATGTTGTATGTTGTAGATGAAAAGTGGGAAGTGGAATGTTGTCCGGGTTTAAAAAGGAGAAAATGAGCCAACAGAAGGACTTCCTGAGAAATTTTGTGATGGTTGTGCTGACTGGCATTTGTGCTCAGATGAATTCTGGACAAGGTTAAATCTCATACACGGCATTGATCATGACATTAAATTAGATTATTGCGATACTCTAGAGTCTATAGATGACCTAGATACAAATACAAATCGTAGCTAATAGACAGCTAATATAGAAAAAAAAAAAAAACTCCGGGTATCATGATAATGTGGGCAAAGAGAAACAAAACAAAACAAAAGAGATAAAAAGAACGTCAATCCCACTCAAACTGGGATCAATCAGGGTATATGGCATCTTTTGATATGCTGCGATGGGACGAGAAAAGAAACAAGATAATCAAATCAAGAATCAAGTTCTCCTTCTAGCGCTCTCCGCGCAGCATCCAGACGACGCCGCAGCACACGCGCTGCTTTTATGTCTGGATCCGAAGAGGTCGTGATTGCCTGGAGGTCCATACAGACCTTACCAAGGCTGGCAAAGAGTTCTTCCAGCATCTGTGTATCATCATCATTGATACCACCTACACTGGGGGTACTGGATGCCGCACGCACGGTCGAGACAAGGGATGAGACAAGGGAGGTTGGAGTTGCAGAGCCGGCCGTGGCTGAGGATGAGCGGCTAGCGAATTTCTGAGAGGAAAGATGTGGTGTGTTCAGTAAGGTGTTGTCGCCGCCTTCGTATCGTGGTCCGCGGGGTGTTTCGGAACGATCGCCCTCCTCGACCTCTTTAATTGAACTTGATTGGTGGCTGTAGCTGCGAGCATGACGTAGGGAATGCGACTGGGAGTGGCTATGGCTATGGCCATGTCGCAGCTCTGTTCGAGGATTGGTGTTAGAAACGCCAGAGGATTTAGATCGTGGGAACGTACCACGGTTGAATCGTCGGTCCCAGTACATCACGCTATCAATGTCGTCCTCGTCATCAGGACACTCGCCTTCATTTGCAGTTGTGAAGGTTGCCACGGTCGACTCGGAAATGTTGCTGTTTGTACGGGAGTGTAGCGTGTATGTGGGCCGGGTTGTCTCGACTGACCCGTTCGAGCCGTGGCTCACCCGACGGAGTTGCTGGGTGTAGTTGCCCAGTGCGCTATGTAGGATGAAATTCTCGTAGTCAAAGGCATCCTCACGCATCTCGTGGGGCGTCGCATCCGTGTGCGATGGCACATCGGGGAAGGCTTCCATGTCGCTCTCGAGGTCATCGTCAAGTGGTTCACGCAAAATCTCATTCAGAGCCTCGCGGTCAATGTCCCCATCGAAGTCACCTTCTTCGGCATCCTCGTACATCGTCTCGGCGACAGATTGATCATCGGCATATTTAGCAGGCTCATTGCCTTTCCAAGTCCGGGCGTGTTTGGATGTGTTCCCAGCGACATGCTGATCGGATCTGCGTCGATCTTCCGCTACATCATTAGAGGTATCCCGGGTGTTTTCAGAGCTGGTGTCGCGTCGGGAATCGGAGCCACGACTGCTCTGACCATCTCTGAGCTCCAGCGCAGTCACATACCATTGATCAGAGGCCGTCAGTGGACTTGGCGTGCGCAGACTTTGCAAGCTACGCCGGCGAAGATTATCTTCCTGGGTCTTGACCTTGAGAGAAGAGATCTTGATGTGAAGCCCCTTCATCTGATACTGGAGATCACGCACCTGCAGTTGCGACTGCGCGCGACTAGGGGGACCAAAAGAGCTGTAGACTGGACTGAAACCATCCGGGCTTGATTTTGATCCCTCCTCCGAGGAGATGCCCAAGCCACGCGGCGAGACCGGCGAACTGTCTTCGGTGGAAACAGGTGACTGCGCCGTCTGATCCTGTTGGTCCTGATCATTCACAGGTATCGGAGGCCGGGTGGAAGAGACCGATGACCGGTGCGTCAGATATGCTCTCGTGGGTGCATACTGGAACGACCGATTGTCAGTATGAAGACGGGACGAAGTGCTTGCACCCATCGCACTGACAGAGCGCATGATGCGCTTGTTATCATTCGAGAGGCCCGACTTGGACGGCACATTCGTCTCAGAGTGCACTCTCGAATGGTGATTATTCGTCGTATCCTGCGATGCAACAAGCGACAGCCGTCGAAGGGAAGAGTTCTTGGGATCCGTGCGCGAAATCGACCGGTACAATCCGCCCACTGGGTGATGCATACCCATTGGCTGAATATAGCCCGAATTCGAGGGCGAGGGGGAGGCGGTGGTGCGTGGCGTCGTCGACCGAGCTCGGGTGAGATTGTTTTCCATAAGCTGAGAAACAAAGCACGTCAGTATTACTCCTTAACCAAACCTGTAGAGCACAAAACATGACATTCACACACATTTAGCCGTTTCTTCGCATTCTCCAGAATCCTCTCCGCCTCGCTACTCAGTATCGCCGAGGAAAACTCCTCTCCAGGCCCCTTACCCTCTACAGCTGCAGACGCCACAGCGTTGCTCGCTGGTACAGAAGAACTCCCTGCAGCTCCGACGACGGTAGTAGCTTGCGCTTTCGCGACTTCGGGGTGAACGAGGGATTCGTCGCGTCCGTTATGCGGCTCGGACACATCCCTAGAAGCAGAAGCGGGTCCGCTCCCCACACTGATGGTGGAATTGGAGCTACTCCATGCAGCATTTTCCCTGTCCTTATCGACCTGCTCATGCAGTAGCGATGAACTGGCTAGGTCTTGTTCATCCGAATCGCCGAAGCCCTCCAGTCTATCTGGCGAGAGCTCCTCGCCAATATCCGAAAGACGACGACTGACATTCACGTCGTCGTGTGTCCAGGCATGGCGGGAAAAATTTTTCTTCTGTCGATTGGGCGCTGACATAAAGCCATTGGGATCCGATTGGCGAGAGTTGAGATGCGACAAGTAAGCGATTTGGGGCGGGGAGGGAGTTTTGTATGCGCGGTCATCTTCGTACGGCAGGATCATGTCCGGGTTTGTTAGAGTAAGTGAGGGCATGTTTTCTCTCTCTCAGGCCCTGGGGCCTGGGGGTGGAGGGGGGGGAGGGTTTCCGTTGCAGAATGGGTGGAAGGAAAGAGAGAGAAAGGGTCGAGGAATCGACCCGTGTACGGGTTGAGTACCGTTACAGTTAGTTTTTCCCCTTAGACAGTTTAGCGGGCCCTGATCATTGCCTTATTTGGATATGTGGTTGTGAAGATATTCCCAATTTCCTTTCTTATATAGAGATGAACAAGGAACTGTTGATTTGGCTTTGAACTACCCTTGCCATTGTCAATGGTGGTCGATGTATCCGTATCCGTAGTTAGCAGGTATAAAATCGCAGTTGATAGATCAGATTCAAATTTTCACCGCGGAGAATGCGACTACAATAAGCTTTCTCAGGTTGTAATAATTAGATTGCCTAGGGAAATGTCGAGGCTCTATTTTTTTTTTTCTTTAATTGTTGTCTCACGCCAACTATCCAAGTAGCACGGGGTACTCCGTATAGAGAGATAAACAACGTACCTAGGCCTAGAATGTGATGTATACCTATGCACACGCCGTATATGCAGTATTGCAGCAAGGATAGGACTTGGCCATGTTATTGATTGCACTGCGGAATACACAATCACAGTGAACTGAATGTTTCCAAGGGTTCTCTGTGTTGGTTAAAATAACTATGGATGAACCCCTGAGATCGGCCACCCAATGAGTGTGAGACCCACATCTGTGGAGAATGTAATTTCAGGAACATCTCAACATTTAATCTGTTGCAGAGGAGAAAAAAAATAAAAAAAAGGAAAAGGATGCTTTTTGTATACAACGTAATTACATATGCTATAATCCCGTAGAAACACTTATATCTAGATCATCGAAAGCAATAACTTCGCACCACTGTTAGTCGGGCTGGGCTTTTTCTTTCCATCTTTCTCCACGACCGACGCCGAGGCCCGCTCCAGCGCCTTCTTGTTCTTCTTCAGAGTCTTGAGCAGCTCACTCTTCTTCTCAAAGTCCTCCGACTCAGCCAGCGCGACAACTACAAAGGGGTTAGCCCCCGTCGCCCAGTCCATGACCTCATCCTTGATCTGCTCGTACAGAACATCATGGAAGTTCAACGCAGGCTCCACCTTCTCGATAGACTTCGAGGCCGGGTTGAATCGTCCACCCTGCACAAGAGACTTGAGAAGACGTCCGGCGTGTGCGGTATCGCGAGCTTCAGTGTGCGACTTGGCGGCTTCGGCAACGGCCGCGAGAGCGTCGGTCTTGTCACCGTCGGCTTCGAACAGCACCTCGGAGAGGAACTGGCAACCAAAGGTCGTCTCGAGAAGGGTAGAGGCGCGGGCAGCGATGAATTCGAGCAGTGTCGGCGAAGCGGCCTTGACGAGCTCCAGGCGGCGCGTGGCCGGGTCTTTCTTGGAGGTTTCCTTGCGGACTTCGCGGACTTCTTCAAGGATTGTCTGGTCGGCCTCGGGGAGCAGCCACTTGACGCGTTCGCCGGCGAAGGGGTATAGGACAGCGATTCGAGCGGTCAGGTCGTTGACCTGATAGCAGAGTTCCTCGTGGCGAGCCTCTTCGGCTTCGTTCTGGTTCAACAACTCGGGGAAGAAGGACTTGGCGCTGAGCTTTGTGTCATCAACGACCTCGTACGCGGCAAGGATAACCTGGTGACCGTAGACGTCACCAGCCATGGCCTTGACGGTGTCGCGGAAGAATCGTAGGAGCAGTTTGCGGTCTTTGGCGTTAGAGTATGCGAGTGTCAAACACATCAAGCGGGAGCCAGACTTGGTGAAAGCCAAGTTCTTGACCAAGTCGCCCTCTTCATCACCCTTGAGCAGCTCGATAAACTCGTTCGCTTCGTTGCTACCGGGTTTCGTGCAGAGGAAATATTGCAACATAGCATCGTGAAGCATGGTGAATCCAGTGCTTTTCTTCTGCACCAGCTGGTTAATCAGCTCGCGCAAGTAGTTCATGATCGGTCCACGCTTTTCAGGGTGGGCCTCGATGATCTTAGCGAGATCGGAAGTGGTGTCATTCTCATCTTGGAAAATGACAAACTCGGGACCGTACCACTCGCGGAGCAGCCTGTTCTTCTGTGCTTTGGTCGCAACTGTGCGGTAGATGTCGTCAAGAATCCATGAGCCCTCGGGGTGGCGGATGAGACGTCTGACATGGCCGTAGAACTCTGGAATGATTAAATCGCGGGTCTCGTCATCTCCGTGGACAATCAACTTTCCAACCAAGAACTTGGCATATCGACTTTGGGCCAGCTCCTTGTAAGTGCCCTTCAACTCGTGCGCAATCAGCTTGCGCTGCTCGAGGTTTCCGTACTTGAGAGCAGTCTGAATAACTCGCACTGAGTCGTGCTTGAACACGAAGTCCCGAACGCGGTTAGTGATGATCTCAAAAAGCTCCTTGATGAGTTTCTTTCTCTGCTCCAGAGGCACGTGGGACTTGCGGCGCAGCTGCTCCCACAATTTCTTGGAGCGGGCGACGGTATCGGCATTTGGCTTAGCGGCCTTGCGCTCCTGCTGGAGCGCTTTTTGCTTGATGTGGGATTCGCGAGAGTTGTTGTCTAAACGCGCCATAACGATTAGATGTGGCGCTACCAAGGAGGCAGAACTGAAACTTACTGTTGGGGTTGGGGTTGGGGTTCTTTGGGGCCTCTTTCCGCTCTTCATCATCCGTATCAGACTTCTTGTCTGATTTGGGCTTCTCCTCCTCCTCGCTCACATCGGGCATCTCAGCATCGTCTGAAAGGGCATCAAGGGCATCAAGGTCTTCGTCTGAGACATCATCAATATCGAAGTCATCGTCGTCCTCAGACTCTTCCTTCTGAACCTTCTTCGAGGGCTTCTTATCACTCTTCCTGGATTTTGAGTCCTTCTTGGAATCCTTCTTGGATGAAGAGCTTGACTTCACGGACTTGGACTTGGACGCGGAGCCTTCCTTGGTCTTGCTCCGCTTGCCATTGCGCTCCTCGCTGCCGTCAACTGCACGCTTCAATCCAGCCATTATGAAAAACTATTTTCGTAGGCTGTAGGGTATCTCCGATTGAAAAATTTAATAAAACTGGGGTCTTTGCGAGCGGAGACTGCTCGATGTCCTGGTGGATAATTTTTTTTTGGATCGCAGGCGGAGGAAGTTTTTTTGCCGGCTATTTGCACTGTTTGCACTGATAAGATGCTACATAGCCCTGCCCAGGTGGACTAGGACTCACGGCAGGTCCATATACATAGAAAAAAACACCAAACTAAAAATCTGCTCTTGAGTTCTTGCAAAAGAAAAGATTGATTGATATGTGGAGGTCCAAAGGCGAATTGCCATGGAAGTTCTATGAGAATAACATGTAGGATGTCTCTGAGCGAAGCACAGATGGCCTGAGTCGCAACTCGATGGCAACAGATGTACAAAGTGCTATAAATTGACATGAGCCACCCATAATCTCCAGGGACAAGTCGATCCATGTTGTCATCGACCAAGTCCCAAATTATATTTGTCCCTTAAACGAGGGTGGTTTACATCACCCGACAGAAACCCGGAACGCCGTAAAGAGAAACACAACGCATTAAATATGTCTCATCATTCATCACTTCAGGTCTCACCATTGGGCGCAGTTGCAGAGGGGGATACTTTCACAGAGGCCAGTTCTGATGCGCCAGCACTCTGGCCGCGCTTCCGGCCGGGAATGTGGAAACCGAAGGTTGAGGTAGAAGACTTGGGCCCGGATGGTTGCGCATCGTTACTAGAGTCACCGAATCTAGAAAGGAACCCCCTCTTTTTAGGTTTCGCCTCGTCATTTAACCCTACTTCTTCAAAGGCTTCTTCCTCCGTGATTTCAGACTTGGTGAGGCTATTGGAGTGAGTGCCCGACGGAGTTAGTCGGGAGAATCGAGAGTCAAGAGAAGTTCGAGAGGGACCGGCATCAGGATGGATGATGGGTGAGCGCGCAGAGATATCCTAAAGTGGAGATTTAATGTCAGTTGTGTTCACGCGGATCGGTTCGGATCGGTTCACGGGGCATACAAATGATCGGCGGTAAGAATCAAAGGACTCGCGAGAGATGGAGAAAGGCTCATTCTCATCAACGAGATCTCGATGGTTGACGGGTTTGTTAGAGCCCGGGTACCGGCGCCAGAAACTCAGCCGCTCGGGGGGAGAAGGCTGTCGCAATAATTAGCAGGTACCTCACATTTTCCCGATCACAAAAGGCCTATACCGGAAGATAGACACCACTGTCGTTGACCACTAGTGACCGAGTTTAGCACCCCAGGAGAGTCAAGTCGTTACGGCAGCCGAGGAAATCACTTGAATCAAAGCATTGCGGGGATTCAAACATACCACTCAATTTGTACTCGGTGGGTTCATCCTGGCTCCTGCGGATCGGTATGGGCACCGGGCGTTGATTTGGAGTGAGATGGCCCTCATCCAAGATAGTGGGATCCCCGTTGGGTTGGGACTTACGTCCTAAAAAGTTGCGGAATGGAGGCATGGTTGAAGAAGTAAAGTCTGGAGACTTCGGAGATTTCCCCTGTGAAAGGCCCCATCATCCGATTCCCGAGCCTACGTCATCCAAGAAATTAGGAATGAAATAATGAAAGAAAAGAAAAGAAAAGAAAAGGTCGAATCCAACAATAATAGATTGAAATTCACTAGATATCTTTAAACTCTTCACTTTGCCCTGTCCCTGTCCCAGTGACATCTGCTCAACCTCGTTGCACTCGCAAAGATTACACACGGAGGACACTCTAAACTATATCTACATCAAACACCACGTCTACGTTGTGAACAAAAATAACATTTACTTCATACATTTAAGCCCAAAGAATAAAGCCTTGAGGCTACAAATATCAAGAAAAAAAAACATCCTTCAACACCCCACGAACACCCAATTAGAAAGATCAGAACAGTCCACATCCATGGATTCCGACATTTTCCAACGCAGTTCGCTTGAAAATAGATCCACCTCAGACAAACTCCATAAGCAAATCAAACTCAAGATCAGCCTCAATTCAGAAGCCAATCGGGGCTTGGGCTAGTCATGCATTTCGCGATCGCTTTTGTAATGGCAAGTTTCACTAGCAATTGACTTGCACCGACAACGCAAAGGACGAAAGAATGTGACTCAGACATGGCTCGTTGGTTCCTTTTTTTTCGAGGGTTTGTGCTTTTTTGACTTCTTCTTGTAGGTTTAGTTTTTGTTCTTTTTTCGTCGTCAGAAGCTAAGTGGCGTTGTTAGGCTCAAGAAGATTGGCACTGTGGTGGCAATCCAGTGAGCGCGAGTCGGACGGATCGAAGACGGCGTTCTTGCGTTCTTCAATGAAGTAGGCTGTGTAAAACAGAATGTTAGTCAAGGAACCTCGAAAATGTGCAATATGATGTGACGTACGAGTCAGTTGAATCATATCAAACCAGCGAACGGCGTGCTCGTCGCTACCGTCGACTGCCTTCAGGACACCATTGTCCGGGCGGAAAGTGGCCTTGGGAGGAATGTGGCGCATGCGCAAGAGCATCTCCAGGATGTCGGCGAAGCGGTCAGACTGATTGAAGTAGTAGGGAGGACGCTTGTCGAGGGGCCACTGGATGGATTGTTAGTGGAAGACGCATCATAAAAGAATAAACATTAAACATAAAATACTTACGCGCTGAGAAAAGTTCTCGTTGTCCCATGAGCGGAATAGCCAGCAGGTGCGCTCTACGCAGTTCAGAAGGATAATAGCCACAATGAAAGTATCGAACCAGCCACACTTCTGGCGCTGAAGGAGTCGACGTTCCAAATCATTGATGACAAACTTACTCAGCTGCGAGGCACGCTTCTCCATAGCGGCGCGCAGCTGACTGCAGAGAAGTCCGTATGATTCTGGGTCAGACACCTCCTCGATGGGCAAACGGCCCTCATCCGATGGCTGAGAAAGAGAGTGCAACGAGTTCGGGGGCAGAGTAGGGTTGTAGTAAGTTTTCCAGGTGAGCTCCGTGTCGACAAGAATATGGGTTGCGACCCACAGCTCCAACACGCGTTCCAGAAGGATATCCTGTTTCCATGTCAATACACACTTCCACATTGAACGTCAAACACCATACCTTCTTCCCCTGGCTGAGTTCAGCAGCGAGCAGCAAAGTGGGCTTCATGAAAGGCGAGGTCTCTCGCTCATAGAAGTAAGAAGCATTCTTCTTTATGTACATTTCCAACTTGGCCGGGATGTCATCCGAGTCCGCGTCCAGGAGGTAGACTTCTTGCGAGGGACCCGAGAACTGGTCATCTCCAAGGGCTTGCAACTGGGGGTCAAGTGCAGAAACTGAAGTGCGGTGACCCTGTAGCCCACTGAAGGTCATGAAAGAATTGCTCTCCTCGAAGTGAGTAACTTCAATGCGACCGGAGTAGTGTTCAAACTTGATTTGGTTTTTAATGCTGTTAGTGTCATGGTAGGCAAGTGTGGAGTTGAGGTCTAGAGTCCGAGTCAGTATATCTTCGAAAAGACCGAGACTCAAACAACATACTGGCATTGTAGAGCTCGAACTCATCGGAAAGCCGGGTGCGCAGGCACGGGTGCTTCCATAGACGAGCACTCTCCACGCTAGCGCAAGTTGTGCAAGGGGTATCGCCAGAGCACTATCAACATGCATTAGTATGTTCCCTTGTTTCACACATCCATAGATTCAAAAAAGCATACGGGTTTCTTGAGCATTCGGCAACGAAGGCATGCACCCTTCTTCCGCACGTCTTGAACTTCACGGCGTCGCTCTGCGGTGAAACGTCCCCGCACCTTGGGCTTCATAGGCTTGGTTGAGTTACCAAACTCGTTCACAAAACCTTTTGCCTGGGTATTGGGGTTCATCGCAATAGGGCGGGGGTAAGATGCCGCCCGCTGGGTGGCAGCAGTCAACGAGGGGTCATGTTCTTGCAGACTGTCGAACAGAAGTTGCTCATGTGTGGACAGCTGCTGATTCCATTGGCCCAGCTTCAGATCAGAGCTAAGGTTGTCACTGTCAATTGACATTCCTTGAGGGACCATCTCGTTGGCGGAGGCCGCAATCATAGACAGTTGTGACTGGCGCGCATTAGAGGTAGATTCAGGCGACATGGACGCATGGCCAAGGGGTGGAGACATGGATGCAGGGTTCTCGCCCGGAGTGTGGCTTGGGAGAGCGGGAATACTAGGAGCGTTGGACGATTGGGGGGTTCCTGCAAATTGTTAGTGGTCGAAGGCGTGCAGCAGTGAACCAAAGGAAAACTTACCCTCGACATTTGCTGTACCATCCATCTTGGACTCAGGTCCTTGCGAATGTCCCTGGAATCCCTCCGCTTCAAGTGCAGGGTCAACAATCACGGTCTTGCCTCCAGCTGTCACAGACTGAGTGTATCCGGGTCCACGCTTGGTCACGTCCGAGGCTCCCACCTGTCGCGAGGCTTCGGCCAACACGTTGAGACCGTCGAAATTTTGTCGATTGGGAAATCCACCATCGGAAGTCTTGCCTTTAATTCCAGAAGGGGAGTCTTTATTCGAATCACCGTCGGTCAAGTCGGGGAGTTCGTGGAGTCGCAACAATACGCGTTGACGGTCGCGCAGGGGAATTGCCTGACATTTTTTCACCAGATGGTTGGTAAGACTGTCAATGCGACCCTTTGGAAATACTTCACCGCAGGCTTTGCATGTATGTTGGTAGCGATTGCTCGCGTCTTCCAGCTTGGGACCCCGGTGGAAGAACTCAAGGATGAGTTGGTTGGGTTTGCGACCCATTGTGGGGGTGGCTGTGGACGTGATTTTGGGAGATTTTCACGTGCCACTCAGAAGCCTAGTGACAGTAATCAGGCGATCAGAACAATCGACGTGTCGCTCGCTCAGAATGGCCAGTGTGTCCCGCCAAGCTGATCCGTCTGTGGACTCGGATTAGAAAACGTGAAATGTGGGATGTGGGAGAAAATCACGCACGCAGTCGCTGGGGACCTGGAGGCCCAGGCTGTTAACCTCAGATGGAAGCAGTAGCCTCTGAAGAGACTCGAAACAGAACAAAAAAAACAAATCTCAATATGATTGAATCGACGATGTGCGGGCAAAACCCAGGGCAGTAGAGGGCGGTCTGGGAATCGCAAGGGGAGGAACACGCGATGGAGGCTTCACCGCACGAAAGGCGGTGATGTCTTCAAGGCGGTAGGGGAAAGGCGGTGATGAAAGAAGAAGAAGATTGCCTCAATATCAACTTGGATAAGAGACGAGGAAAAGGATGAGTTGTTACGGGATGGGGTTGAAGAAGTGGAAAGGTGAGTATTGGAGGGAGAGGAATTCTTAGTCACTTTGTGCCACTGTGACTGCCTCTCTCAAAATCTCTCCCTCTCCTTCTGTATGGAAATTCTATGTATGAGCAGTCATGCAAGCTGTATCATTCCTTTTTCCTTTTATTTTTCTTTTAGGGGCTGGTAATCTGTATCTGATTGAGACAGAGCAATACAAATAGTTACTGTACGTCCTAGTCATGAATATAGGAAAACTGCCAATCCAAAGAAATCGTCATTCCCGTGCGTATATTTTGGTGCTTTCCCGGGGCCCCAAACCTCGATTGCCCCTTATTGCATGTAGCCAGTACTAGTAACACTGAATTTTTTCTGGTCACTGTACCTTATACTCCAATTGACCCATCGATGAGACCAAGACTATCCTATGCCGTGAAAGCTTTCATGTGCATCAACAGACCCGATGCTCGGGAGGCCGCCAGGGCACACCCAACACAGCAAAAATCCGACGCTCATCCCGGCCCTCAACCAGCCGGCCCCCATTCAGTTTCACCTGCTGGTTCCGAAGAACATCCCCATAAAGACCTTTTTGGTTCAAGCACATGCCTTTCTTGCGTGCTAGCAATCTCATGCTCCGGTTGAACATATCATTCCCTGTGAAGTATATCAACGCCGCCCCGATCTCCGCATCGGGAACGAACAGCAAATCTATCCGACGCCATAAGGTGGTGCCAGGTAGGGCTGATGCGCCGTGCCACTTAGATCCATCCTGATGCGTCGAGATGGCAAGGCTGGCCTGCAGAAAGCCACTATTGAACAATATAGGGACAACAAGGCCGAGCATCATAGTGCGGATTTGCTCCAGCGAGGCACCAGGTTTGGTGATCAGACAGTCCACGTCCCCGCATGTGAGTGCTCCGCGGCGGTAAGAGCCCCCGATGATCACCTGCATATCCCTGTCCACAGTCTGCACCACCTTTCGCACGATCGCCCCGTGGGCTTCGACCTCCTTGCGGGGGATTCGTTGCGCAAAGTCGCTATGGCGTTCCACCCCAATACGCTGCTGCTTGGTCAATGGAGCCATTTCCAATAAATCCTTCAGAGATCTATAGCCCTGCGCAACCCATTTGGAGGCCTGGGGAAGGCCAGCACCATATACACCAAGAAATTCTTTAATTATCAAGTCTTCTGGGGTATGGGTGGCATTTTCGAGACGACGAAGGCGGTTAGTCAAGACAATCTCTTCGATTTTGTCAGCTAACCGCTCTCCAATACCAGGGATAGCCCGAGCCTGTGCTCGTGTAGCAATCTTGTTCGGTTGCTTTCGCAAAACGTTGATTGCTTTACGATAGGCCATAACACGCCACTGGTCTGCAGTCTGCGTGTAGTATTCCAGCATTTGCTGTAGTACCTCGATGGTTCTATTATTTGGGTTGCCAAATTTCGTGTCCGGATCGAACTTCTGCATGCAGGCAAAACCTTTGGTCCAGTCAGATTCTTCTTTGTCTTTGGCTTCGCCTTCTCCTGTGGATGTTTTTCGCGGTTTCCAACTTAATTCCTCCTCAGAGCTCGATGTTTCGATATCGGAAGTATCAGCGGCAGATTCGTCAATGGAAAATTCAACTGGATCTAGAGGCTGATTATTAAGATCAGTTTTATGAGCTTTCACTAACAAAAAAAAGTTTTACCAGATGACTTGTGGCCTTAGCTTCATCTATTATTTCATCCAGTGCATCCCGCTCCCGATCTCCTCTTCCACACGCTTCTTCGGTTGCATTTTCTTGAACCGATTCGAAAATCACGGCGTGGGGCACACTTTCAGTGACGTTTTCTGGAAAATCATTTGGCAATAGGTTTGGCATCGGTTCCTCGACCGGAGACAAATGAAGCTCTGGGGACTGGTTTTTCTCCCGCCGCGATGGTTTCAATGGAAGAGAGTCAGGAGGGGGTTCTACCACTGGAGACTTCTCCTTCTCGGCGGTCGTTGGGATTCCATTGACACGAAAGCGCAGGTGTGAGGCATCAAGAACCGAACGAAACTGAATACATTCGGATGGGTAAGATTCATTGACAAGAGCAACATTCGTCTGTAACAGTTAGTACTGGAATCTGAATACCTCACGAATGAACTGACTGGCAGATATTCAAGTTTGAGGTAGCTAAGCAGATCGCTTGATAGCAAGCCTTTGTCCATGATCACATGAGTAATATCGGATGCCCAATTTCGACACCATCGTGCGCCATAATCTTGCGCTCGTTGAATGCGCAAGCGTCGAAATGGCGATATATCGTTGTTTGGAAAGAAGACTTAAATTGAGAGTTCAGTGAAAGTAGGCTGTGAGAAATTCAAGCATACTTACAGAAGATCAATCCCTTGAAAATCTGCTGGTTATCTGGGATTATCTTAGCACTGTTGGTCTTTCTTTTCTTTTGAGGAGGTCGTCCGTTCTTGATGGTATGCGTAGCTCCACTCGTCCTAGGGCGCTCCGTAGGAGTAGGTTTGAGGACAGCGACCGGACTAATTCTCTTTCTTTGAGGGCCACATGAAGGTATAGGGTCCAAATTTATTCGAGGCGGTGGGATACACTCCGAGGAAAGAGCGACTTTGTTTGGATTGGGTTTGTCAAGTTCTTTGTTTGCAGGGAACATGAGACCTCCCCAACTCTTATCCTCTTCATCTTGATCATCTTGATCATCCAGCCGGTCAAGAGCCTCAAAAAAGCTCTTTTTAGTCGGAAATTGATCCTTCATGGTACCCAGGTAGTCTAGTCCGGTTTCCAGTGGAGGGGCGGGTGCCTGGGCCAGCGATGGTTCATTATATAGGTGCCTGGAGTCACGATAGCGTAGATGAATCGCATAAAATTTGTCAGAGAAAAGAAAGGGCAATGGTCCGAAAACTTCCTTGGGCCAATTTGGAGGACCCGTGGATGCCAAACGCGATTAACTGGCGCGACATGGGCGCCAAGTCATGTGATCTAGTCTGAAGTGGAAGTCATGTACTCAGGTGACCTAAGGCCAGAGATGTCTATTCCAGATTTGAGAATTGAATGAGACTTATGAAGTAGATATTTTCCTATGTATTCAGATATCATCATTCAACGATATACATTCTAAATACGTACATACTCTGCATTGCTCCGAGTAAGGATAGAAATAGCTTCGACAATTGTTCCCAAGTTGGAAATGCCATGTCATGTGACCCTTGATTTCCATGGAAGATCAAATGCGCCAACAAGTCCGAAAGCAGTGACCTCGCCATCCACCACCCTAAACGCAGCCCTTTGATTGATAGGTCTTCAGCCAAAATGTGGAAATCCACCCTCCCCGCCTTGCTCGGCGACCTACCCTTCATGCAAACTGGCCGTTGTCTCAGCTGCCAATTCCGCAACCCAGCAACTCTCTCCCGGCTACGGACCAAACCCTTATATTTGCGCCAATATTCCAGCAAGCCCGTGGAACCCATCGACACAAAAGATCTCGCCCCCGTAAAACGAAATATAAAAAAGGAGGCACATCGCCTATCGACTGCCATCGAATTCAAACAGAACCAGCCCCAGGATGGACCTCAGCCCAGCGACGCAGACTTCGTTCCTCCAAGCCTAGACCGGCCCATCGGTAGTCCGCAAGCGCCATTAGAAGGACAGAACACAGGCATTGACTCGCGGTCGATGCGCCAGCGGCGCGACGACTTCACCAACTATGATCGGCACATCAAGCGACGCAAGGAATTGTACGATCTGGCCTCTTCCTCTTCCTCCCACATCCGGGATAGAGCCCCAACGCTAGAAACAGCAACACTAACAGAAAATGGCAACCTACAGGACAAAACAAGTCGCCAAGCCGTACTTCCGCGAATGGTCCAATCTGCGCTTCGCCGAGGGCAAGACCTTTTTCGCGAACCCGCGGCTATTCAAAGCTGACAGAGCCCTTTACTTCCCGAACATGCACGGCGTAACACTGGCATCACCCAAGGATCCCCGGAACACGACGACGCAGCTGCGCGGCAGCATCTCCGTCGTAAATTTGTTTTCAAGTGTGTGGGCCGAGAGCCAAGTTGCGACATTTACGGGGCCAGAACAGAATCCAGGACTTGTGGAGGCGATGGCCAGCGGTGGAAGATTGGTGCAGAGGATAGATATCAACCTCGAGGAGAACCGATTGAAGGCGTTCCTGGTGAAGACGTTCATGTGGCGGATGCGGCAGAAATTAGCCAAGGAGCAGCATTCACGCTATTTCCTTGTGCAGAAGGGTTTCGATCAGGCACTCAAAGAGACAATTGGTATGATGAATTCCAAGGTCGGTTATGTCTACCTGGTTGATTCCGAGTGTCGCATTCGCTGGGCCGGGAGTGGACCGGCTGAAAAGTCTGAGTTAGATGGACTTAATGCTGGTTTGCGGAAGCTCATTGAGGAGAAGAAGACCATCCTCCGGGCGCAGGACCCGTCTCGCAAGTATTGATTGAGGCTAGAGTGATAAGGAATACGTGAACTGGAGCCTGAGATGTGTTCTTACTCCGCTCTCGGTTGAATTTGTACATACAATGGAGAATCTGTATAATGGAAAATATAACAAATTGGCGCCTTCCAAGACCCTTTCAGAAGAATTGCCATTGATTCTGCCGGATGCCCCATCAAGGGGCACTCGGAACATGCCCAAACCCAAACGCCTTCGACAATATAAATCCACTCGCTGGAGAGCAGCAATTGACACAAGAACAAGAAGACATAGAGGCAGTGATACAACCGACCTCCCGCCGGAGCCTCACAGAGATACTTTACCGGAAGAACAGCAACATTAAAAAGCAGAACCCAATAAAGCACCCGAGGATTATAGCATCCCGCCTCTTCTTGTTCCCAATCTTGCCTATGAGGTAGTTCATGCCGGGGACACTACCAGCAGCGCCCACAATGCGCCGATTGATGTTGGCGATTGTCTCGCTCTGGACACCGAAGTTCTCATTGATGGCATACGCCTGGCTCAGCACGCCGTCTATCATGCTGTGGCTGTTCTCGACTCGGCCCCGCTCTTCGAGCATGTAGTCGGCCTCGGCGGCGGCGGGGTTGGATGCGCGATAAGAGCTGATGTCTGAACGAACATTAGAGAGTAGGTTTGCGCGGTCGCGCGATTCAGAAATAGCTGCGGTCAGACGTTGGAGCTCGCGGCGGTGGTCTTGCAGTACTTCACGGTGGCGGGAGACATTATTCTGTTTTAGGGCGGAGGAGGTGAGAGTGGCTTCGGAATCAAGGAGACGGGATAGTTGGGCAATGATAGACTCGCGCTGTACGGAGTCAATTAGCTTTCGGTTCTTTTAATCTTCTGTTGAATGTTGCCAGATGGTCGTACTCTTTCGAGGAGGTCTCTCAGTTGCGTTTGAAGCCGCAGCTCTTCCTCGGTAGGTGATTGTGGAGGTTTGGTAATTGAGGCAAATTGTGAATAGGTGTGGAAAAGGTTTTCGGTCTATCAGTGCGTCAGTTAACGTTGGTATAGAGCTCCTGGTGAGATATCGGTACCTGAGTTTCAAGCGACCGTGCTTGTTGTCGGAGCTGCGTCCAACCAGAACTAGTTGAGGATGCCATGGCAAGCAAAAAAGTTTCAAAGATAGAGATGAAGACACCAGAGAAGTCTGATCTGTTTAGAAATTCTACTCAGGCCAAATGATCAACCAGTGCAAGGGCCGAGGTGCTACCTGCTTGGCTACGTAAGTGCCAGCCCATGATGGGGTAAACCGCTCTAACCGAATACAGTAAGTTCGTGCCCCAGAGCCCAGGCACCTCTTAGCCCGAAATTTCAGGCACACAACCAAGTGCCACCGTGATCACGTGCGCCCGCTAAAGTCACAAATTCGCTTAGCCCTAGTCCCACAACCAGTCGCAAATTGACCCTCGGACATCTTCAATTCTCAACGTCGACAACCCACACAATTCAACGCCACCATGGTATGTCACGCCGTGCAAAGGCTCTGATATCAAAATGCTGATGAATCGCTCTTTTTTCGCAGTCGTCCAAGGTCAAGGCTGGTCAGCTCTGGGGCAAGAACAAGGATGAGCTCGCCACACAGCTCGAGGAGTTGAAGTTGGAGCTTAACCAGCTCCGCGTTCAGAAGATCTCTTCCGGCGCTTCCTCCAAGACTCAGAGAATGTGCGTATCCGACACCCCCGATATTTGATTTTTTTTTGTGCGGACGAAGTTTGAAGATTTGCGGGATGGGAACGATCGAATCCGGGAAAAACAACCTATAAGAGGAGGACTACGCCAGCACTCAGCCAAGCGATCGATGATGAGGATACGGATTATACGATCTAGCACAAAGCGCACGAAACTGGGGCTGGCTCATCGATGTTCGAGATTTGATGCTGACTGGAATTTTTTTTTTAGCGGCGAGGTTCGCAAGTCGATCGCTCGTGTTCTCACCGTCATCAACGCCAACCAGCGCGCTCAGCTGCGTCTGTTCTACAAGAACAAGAAGTACCTCCCGCTTGACCTCCGCCCCAAGCTCACCCGTGAGATCCGCCGCCGTCTCACCAAGCACGAGCGTACCCAGACCACCGACAAGCTCCGCAAGCGTGCCATCCACTTCCCCCAGCGGAAGTACGCCGTTAAGGTATGATGCTCCGACAAGCCTGGGCAGAGAAATAGGTGGAATGAGTGTTCCATGATGTTCATCTTTGCTCTCTCCGCCAAAAACCTCTCCCATCAAATGAGACGAATCAGCCGAACACAATGCTGACGGGGTTTTTTTTCTTGCAGGCTTAAACGCAGAACTTGTTCGGATATGGAGTTTTGTGGGAAGACGTTGCTGGCCTTGGACATGAGCAGGACGTGACCGTGGATCCGAATGCTTGTGTAGGGGTCGGTTTTCTCTTTTTTTCATCCAAAAAATGGAATTTGATTATGTATCTAAATAGGATGCAAATCGACTCTTGACATGACATGATTATAGACATTCTCCAAGTTTCCTTGCTCTTGCTCTCAGGTAAGGCTAGTGAAGAGATCACATGGATATGTATAGTCTGACAGGACTCGATGGTATATATTTCTACAACATACATATCTTGAATGGTCTGCAATTGGTTGTCTACGTAGCTTAAGTAAAATGCATAAATAATGACGGATTGGGCACATCTTGTTATGTTCACCAAACACATCTAGACGCAAGGCACCCCAGCACCCCCAGATTTACGCCTGAAATTAAGAAAACCGAACACACCCTCGTGCCCTAGATCAACCAACCCCATACCACCTCAGGCCAAAGGCAAAATGCGAGCCATAGTATCTAATTTCAGCATTGAATGATGTCCTAAGTCTGGCTAATCCTATTGCCATGCGCACTCCCAGTTGTAACCGCAAGATCACCAGTATCCATCTCGAGAACCCACATCCCCCCGCAAAGACAGGACCGCAACAGCCCTAGCTTAGCAATCATCTTGAATGACAGAAGAGACCGTGGCAGATTAGTATCACCAGAGACCTCACAACAGCGCACACACCTGCGCTTCTTCAGAGGCGCCACGCGACCATCGTTCCCCAACGGCAACGGCGGACGCAGCGGACACTTCTTGAGGATATCGACCTCACGCTGCTTACGGTACAGCGCCGTGCGTCGGTCATTCCCAGAACCAAGCCAGCTATAATCCCCGAGGTAGATCGCCATGCGGTTGATTTCTAATTTGAGCGCAGGGACTGTCTGCCGGAGGAGGGTGGCCACGGCTGTGGTGAGGACTGGCGGGATGCGCGCATTAACCAGTAGTTCCTTTTCCGGTCCCGGTCTTTCGGCGTCGCCGAAGCCTGCGCCTTGGTAGGCGTGCTTCACGGCTGAGTCGACTCCTGCCAGGAACTTCTCGTACACGTCGATTCGTACCGGTGATGATTCTAGTGTTTGGCAGATCTCTGTGTAGTAGATCCGGGAGTCACCTATAAGGGAGGCAGGGTTTGCGCTTGTGTAGCCGGCATGCACGCCGCGGAGGCCACGGCAGATGAAGCGGAGGAAGGCGCGCGACATGCTTGAAAGGAGGATTAGGAGGGGGAGGGAGGAGGAGTTCTTCACTGTAAACGTGGTAAGATGGGTGAGCTTGAAGCTGAGTTTTGTTATGGAGAGGTCCCTTACGTTTCTGTGTGAATGCTTCCGGGTCATTGAAGACATCTTCGAAGTCGTCGGCCATGTCGAAGATTTCGTTTAGAATAAAGTGAGAGAAGTCTAATGTCCATTTGGTGTTTCCCAACACCATGCGTAGAACATCTTACGTTTCAATTAGCGTCGGAATACGAAAACTGAGTTGCCATCTTTCTTCGAACTTACCTGGATCATGTGATTCAGTCTGGCCCCCTTTATTATACTGGAAGAAATATGCAAACAGAACCGAGGCATGTCTGAGTTGAAGGCTTGCCCACGGCACGGCCGATGAGAGGTTGCGGCGCTTGAGTCTCCCTTTGAAGCCCAGTCCCGCTTGTAGACTGAGGCAACGAGGTATGTATGGATGGCTCATGAGTTTGTCCTGTTCGGCTGTGAAATTGCAATTTACCGGCAGTGCACGATACACCTCGCTAATAAATGTGATTTGAGCCTCTTTGGAGGTTGTCAGCAGACTTGATGATATCAATACGGAGTTCTTGAGAGCACTTGCCTGGTGATAGCTGCCCGAGCGCAACCATGAGGATGTCATCTGTATTGAAATCGACCCCACAGCCTCGACTGAAAGCCAATGTCAAGGCCGCGATGGCTGCGGAAAAATTGTCTAGATGTCTCGGTCAGTATTGTGATCTCACACAGGTGACCTGATGGGTTATGTGAAAAACACATACTCTCATCATAGAGACCCTCTGTAGATCCAAACGAATGCTCCATCACTCTCAATTGCATATTTCCATCAATATCCAGCGTAACGGCAACGCAAGCGTTCGGAGAGAAAGCGATGTGAAGACCTGGTTCATGTCAGTTCTAGCCACGCATCTGAAGATCGATCTGTTCCGGACATACCTGACGTTTCGAGTGGGTAGTGGAACCCTGCTTGGGCAAGACAGGTCACTGTGGTTGAATTGTCAAGGCCGTCCAAAACGGACATTGTCCGTGTGTCATAGTATGTTATTGAGCTGTCGTCATGACTGACAGCCAAAACTGTCCCATGCTCTACTAAATCGACCGAGACGATATATTTATGGCAATACACGTCTTCCAGCCTGCGCAGTTCCATTCTGGGCTGAGGATAGGTCAGTCTCAACTCCCCGCAACAGTCAAACCCCGAAAAATTCGCACCTTTGCTTGAGCGTTGCTCTTTTTTGACGTCACCTCGTCAAACTTGGGATGGAGGAGCTGCGATGCAGACTCCAAATGCCACCTCACAATAACACTTGGTGGACCTTGCTGTTCTGGATAGTCATGTATGGCATGGAGGGGCTTCGACAAGACAGCCAGGATCCAAGGATTGGCGGTGGACCCCGCGGGGCTATCAAACTGTCCCGGCATGATCTCTAGTCGTGTCAACGAGTACACTGAGTTCAAAAATGGCAGAGACTGGTCGGAGTGGTCGGCACCCCGATTGATGTTCAATATGTTGCTGGGCATGTCGACCTTACAGTGGATTAACCGAAAGGTGGGAACAGGGAATTGGCCAGGCGGTTTTCCCTGCGCCGGCTCCCATTGTGATGGGTTCCAGCTGATGTGTACTCTATAAAGACACATTTTCTGACAAGCAGAATAGGTGGAGAGAAGGATCCCAGCTGTTTCAACACGTCAATGACGGCAGGAAATGGAGCTCTGACTGAAAGACAATACCTTGTGTTGCGGTCATGGAAGCATGCGTCAATAGTCTGTCCGAGTACCCTGTGTTCTTCAGTTCGGCTGGCAACTCGGCCCATTTGCTATCAGGATTTTGATATATCAGCTTGATCTGGCCGGCTCTGGTTACACATATCAATGCGCCTTTGTTTGCTGGGTGAAATGGCCCGACGGGGCGTCGGCGGAAAGGCGAGTATGCCCATCTACCATTCACCTTGGCCGCTTGATGAAAGGCATGCACCTATACTGCCATGTTAGAGTTATTTCACTCCTATCCTGATCTATCTTGATGGATAATGGTAAGGGAGGCTAACGTACATAACGCTGGGAGTTCAGCCACATCATTCCAACCACCTGGTTACCGTCGTCGCCAGAGTCAAAGGAGGCTTGACGCAACCCTGTGATGCTGTTCAATGCAATGGATATGGAATATATTGATATGCGACCAGAACAGTCGACAACAGCCAGTTCTGAGCCGGTCTCATTCCATGATAGGTGGGCCAATTGATTGCCATTATGAGCTTCCAATACTGGAGCCAAAGGTGATTCTTCCCCGAGCACCCATTTGCCATCTGATGGACGGCACTGAAGATGGCGGACAATGACCCGGACTCCGTCTGGGGAAATAGACGCAATACATCCCATCCGAGACCAGGCGATTTTCCTAGAAGGCTGTTAGTCCCGGAATGCGGATGTGGAGCATTCTTCGAGGCTTACTGGCAGCACCCTAATAGACGCATTTCATCTAGGCCTTGCGCTAGACCTTTGATTGGAGAGGCGGCCGGCAAGCCCAGCTCCAGGGAGTTGGATTCTCCAAAGAGATCATCCACATTGATACTGTCCTCCATAATCAAGGACGTAATATTTGTCCACTTGTCAATTTTGTTTGATAATCAGGGAATCAATACAGCAGCATGGCTTCATAGAGTTCCCCGGACCATTGAACATCAGATGGTCTTTATTATTATTTGGCCAAGAAGGGGGGAGTGGTGGGATTCCCGAGATCGGCGCCTAATATTCGACGAGAAGACACAAATACCAAACACCGGATGTCACAATCAATGCAGCAATTCCAGACTTCAAAATGAGGGGGGGGGACCATAGACCAAATCCAGCTGTTCCTATGCCGTCAGCGCCTGGACCTTCAGGGACCAGTGGATTTCCCAGCCCTGGAGGGATGCTTAGTCAGGCCTCGTGATACAGATCAGGTGACGGGTAGCCCTGCCAACGACAATTGGCCAATCAGAGGAATACCAAATGACCCACTACCTACCTGAGCGAATCACCATTGAGCCTTTGGCCTGTCAAAACATGGGAAAAATGAAAAAAAAAAAAAATTTTCAAATTGGAAAGCAAAATAGGAAGAAAATAAGAGAAAAATAAGAGAACGATAGGAAGATCACAATACGGAGAATTGAGACATCCTATTGAGAGTGCGAAAGGGCAATTGGCTAGTATAAAAACCCTCTACAAAGTACCATCAATGGGGTCTTAAGAGCATCAAAGTGGCTACTACTAGACTATTTCCCTCTTTTATTCCGAAGTATATGCGTAACTGTCTTGAACCCACAACCGTTCGCATCAAAACAACATCGAGTCCCACCCTTCCTGGTCATTCGGTTCGGTCAAATCAATTTACTTCTCTCCAGTTCAACCACATTCCTACGGAAAAACCCATACCTTCAGCCAAAACAAAGGGTATTTTTGCTGCGGGTCGCCCTTTTTTTTTTAATTCACTTTTCTCCGGCCCATAGTGCCCTGAAGTGCACGAGTTTCATGCCCTTCCCCCTCCTCAACGCTGACCTCATCGTCAACTTCCTACAATCTGTGGACTTTCTACCTCCAACTATCTCCTACTCTCTTCTACCCTTTCTCCCCTCTGTCTCCCAAGCTCTTAACCGTCATTGATCTTTATTGATCTTTAATGTCCAGACACATGTGATAACTCTTTTGGAGGTTTTCTACGGTCTCTGAGCAATTTGAAGATACCGCCCGGTTCTTTTCGCCCCAATTCCCCCTGGGGGTGAACATCCTCCAACGTTACACCTTTCAGCCCATTTGCAACTCCCACACAATCATGGTGGATCTTAATTTAGATTTTTCATCCGATTCGGAATTGAGCTCCGTGCCCCCATCACCAACATTAGTAGCGCAGTCATCACCAGAGCCAGCAGAGCGGTACCCAACGCCTTCATCCCAAGAGGGAGCTGAGCCTGCTGAGGTTTCTGCACGCCAAGCCCGTCCCGCAAAGAGGAGACGCAACCCCCTACCAAAGGAACGGACCACTCAATATCTCGATCTATCCAGGTCTCTCTATGAACAAAGTGATCAACATTATTTGCTTGTTCAAACTCTGCGTCATCAAAAAGACATTGTCGTCATCGCTGGCGCTGGCATTTCCACGGCTGCGGGTAGTAAGTTTCTGCTTTGGGATTCTGCCGCATTCGAACCAACTCTTAACTCTACACATAGTCCCGGACTTCCGCTCCACAGACGGTCTTTTTAAATCATTACAGAAAAAGCACAACTTGAAAGCTTCCGGCAAGCTTCTCTTCGATGCTGCCGTCTATCAGGATGACGCATTAACGGCCCCGTTCCATGAAATGGTCCGGTCGCTGTCGGAAGAAGTTGCGAACATCAAGCCCACCGCCTTCCACAAAATGCTCGCCCGATTGGGTATCGAGTCTCGCTTGAAGCGACTTTACACCCAGAATATCGATGGCATTGAAACCTCCATGGGGCCACTGGCAACTGAGGTGCCGCTTAATGTCAAGGGTAGTTGGCCGGTCACTATTCAACTGCACGGCAGCATTGAGAAGATGGTATGCCAGAAGTGTCGCTACCTTGACAACTTCAAACCCGATATGTTCATGGAAGCCGACCCGCCCGCTTGCGAGGAATGTACTGTGCACGATAAAGTTCGCCAAATCGGCGGTCAACGGAGTCACGGGATTGGCCGCATGCGTCCGCGCATCGTCCTCTACAACGAGCACAACCCCGACGAAGAGGCAATCACCTCCGTGATGAACGCCGACATCAAGTCCCGGCCTCGCGTCCTGATTGTCGCCGGTACCAGTTTGAAAATTCCTGGCGTCCGGCGGCTCGTCAAAAGCTTATGCACAATGATCCGCAGTCGCAAGGATGGTGTCACGATGTTCATTAACAACGAACCACCAAGCGGCAAAGAATTTGACAACTGCTTTGACTTGATTATCAAGGGGTCATGCGATGAAGTTGCACGCGAGGTGAACCTGAAATCATGGGAGTCAGAGGATATCACCCCGTGCGTTTACGAATCCTCACCTGAGCCCATTCTCCACAACTTCAATTCCAATGACGTTTCCGTCGTTGTCACGCCCAAAAAGAGACCTCGTGCAGAGACTGGTCTCGCCACACCTTCGTCCAGTCATGACGAGAAGCCGGCGAAAAAGTTGACCACGAAAGCTACGAAAATCAAGCTCGAAAACCCAGCAAGCAATGGCCGATCCATCGAAGATATTATCAAGAACGGAAAGTCTGCTACTCGCAAGCCTATCTCCAAATTTATCACCAAACCCGCCCCTAATGCTCGTCCCAAGAAGACCGCAACAACTGCTGTTGCGAAAAAGCGTGGCGTGTCTGCCGCCCCGGTCAAGAAAATTACCTCTTTCAGCCGCGTTACCAAAACCTCTCAATCCGCTGGCAAGTCCGCTACAAACGGAGACGGCAAACCTATGCAACCGGTTCCAGCCGGCGCCTCGAGGAACAATGGTCCTCTACCAAAAACAGGACAATCTGAGAAAGCAGACATGCTTAATACAGAGTCTTTTCCCCCGCCAGTGGCTTCCTCCTGACTTTTGAATGTTCCAGTCGTGGTCTTGATATCTAATTATATGTCGGCTGCAAGTGTATGACGTGATGCATGGTTCCAAATGGCGTCCTTGGTGTTATTTTCTTTTTCATTGATCTTTTCAGTGCTACCTCCAGTGCTCTCCTATCCCATTTGTTTACATACTTCCTCTTCGTGGCCTGTATTCTTACTTGTATCACCTGCGCTTGCTTTGGGTTGATGATTGCTGCTTTCCTCTTTGTCGAAAGATACCATTGATAGACCACAGTTTCTCGCATGGGTCGGGCGTTTTCTCGGGCAAGAAGCTGGCTCATTCCAGCGCGATGGGGTTTCCTGGTTCCAGTCATCCTTCTGTTCTCATTCTCGTTCTTGCCCATCTGCATGGGTGCTCAAATGTGGGTTATCTAAATAAGGTGTTCCTGACTTGAGTTCCACCTTATTCGGTTTGTTAGGCGCTGTCCCGTTTAATACCTATCTCATTTCTCTTCGGGGATTATAATGAGTATCTTTCTCTCATTCTTGTAATACTTAGTGTAGTAGGGTGTTGGCATTTATAAGATGTTTATTCGAACTTCGGGCTCCGCAACTAGTGCAGGTTGAGGGATTATAATATCTCTTAAGACTTGAACTATTAACCTACCGTCCTCAACTGTATTCAAATCTATACTAACAGAGCACAGCATAAAATCCATTCGTCATTATGTGTATAGTACAGCAGAAACATTCTTTTCTTTTGCCAGTCAACCTCTCCCAATGTCATTCAAGACGAGTCGTCTTTAGCTCACCCACATGTAAACCCCTCTAACATGGCTTAGATAATTAGCCCAATCCAAGATCATCCCGCAATTGACTACCAGGCCCATCCTCATCTTCATCCGTCTCCTCAGCATCGGGATCATAAGGCCCTCTTCTCACACCAGGCTCACGGTCCAAGTCCTCCACATGCTCAAGGTTATCCTCACGCGGAGCACGATCCTCCTCCTCCTCTTCATCGTCCTCACTCTCATCCTCTTCTTCCTCTTCTTCGGCTTCTTCCTCTTGAGTCTCATCCCCATCATCCCCAGCGGGCAGAGCAACAGCTACTTCCACGTCTGCGTCTCGCTTCATTCTTTTCGCAGGATTATCAAGCATCTCTACATCACCGTCGCCCTGAGTCGCGTCCTCGCCTAAAGCATCCTGCGTCGAGCCATTCTCATCAACCTTCTTCGGCTTGCGCTTCCCGGCTTTAATTTCCGTGTATGCCTCGAGTTCTTGTTCAAGCCGGCCGCGGAAAGAGTCGAGTTCCAGCTCGGAGAGAGCATTGAAGACGTCTGATGGAGCGATAGTGCGTTTGAGAGTTGCGTCGTTGGCGCTGTGAGTTTGTCCGGGTTAGTTCGACCTATCATACCAAGGAATAGAGTAGAAAAATCGAGATTTACCATCTCATGCTTTAAATTGGAGGGAAAACATACTGTGAAGACAGATAGGAAACAAACACCGTAGCAGCCTTCTGCATAGCCAACACAGCGTCCTTCTGGATCGTCGTATTCGGCGGGAGAACCGACTTGGCGAGACGAATCGTCAATGAGCGTGGCAGGAGATAGTCCTACAAGTTACCGGAAAATCGCGTTAGCCTGGTCTGCTTATCTTTTCCACATGCCGTATTTGGAGGAGTCAATTGAATGTGATATCATCCTGCAACACGCAATACATGTTCATGCCTCTGGCTTTGTCTTACCTCGACACTCGCGCCTGCCTCAGCCCGAGCCTTCAGCTGCTGCTCCGTCGCAAAGACGGGCTTGTCGGTTTGCGGTGCTGGAGACGACTGCTGAAGCAGGGAGTCATCAAGATCAGCGGGCGTCACTGAAGACGTGGATTTGCGAGGTGGCATTTTTGTAGGCTTGCAGCGGATAGGTGCCTTGGTGCTGATTGCGCGGTTCAAGGGATCGGGGGGTTGACAATTCGGGCCCCCCTTGGATATTGAATCGAGTCAAGGCCTGATTGTTTCTCTCTACAAAAGGCTCTGTGGTTTGCAATCGGGGGTTGACCTGTGGACATGGGCTGTGGAGATGGGACGACGTTCGAAAGTGGCAAGAAAGACGCGCGCCAACGCGTTGTTCTCAATGCGTGAGTGTGGGGGCTTGGCGGTGATGTCTACGGAGTGCTTGCTCTAGGTCAATATTTTCCATCTTCATATTTACTATATATTTAACATGCACTACAATCTACTGTTTCGACTGGTTTGTTTGGCAAGAAGTGATTTTTGCTACTATTTTATACCACTAAAATGGAGATCAACTAGGGAAGGATGGAATGCCAACAAAAAACGCCCACTTTTTGGTATCCAGAAAGATAGAATCAAATGAGATAATGAGTTCATAACACGAGCAAGAAGACCAGCCCTACTCGGCCATCTCCTCATCATCACCTTGTCCGTTGCCCCAGAGACCCTCGATACTGAACTCCTTGGCCCACTCGGTGACGACCTTTGTGGTGTCAACGCCAGGCTGACTATCGCTGGCAGGAGCATCCGCCGAGACAACGGGCAGCACGGGCGCATTGGCCCAGCCTTGGATGCGTCCGTCTCTCCAGTCGTTGATAACAGTCATGGCAGCACTCTCGATGTTAGGGACACCGCGCTTTCCGAGACGGCCACGCTTACGGGCCACCTGGACCAAGAAGTCGGTGGTCTTGTCGCCATTGCTGGGGAAGAGGGCAGTGATACCGTACAGCTCAAGCATCTTGGAGAGGAGGGTCTCCGACGAAGATAGACGCTTCATCAGGAGGTTGACTGCGGGGATTGGATCCTCGATCTGCTTGGGCGGAACGGCGTTAAGGAGAATAAGACGCGCTTGGTCTTCCTGCTTCTTATTCTTCTTGCTAGACTTGTCACCGGAGTTGGGAAAGACGATTCCAGGCGAGTCAATCAGCTTGAGCTTGCTGTCCAGCTTGACCTGGCGCAGGCTAGTGGTGACGCCAGCCTCGGCGCCCGTCGGGCATGCGTTGCTGGAGCCCTTGTTCAGACGTGCGGTCAGTGCGTTGATGACGGACGACTTGCCGACATTGGGGTATCCAATGACACCGACAGAGATGGCGCGCTTCAACTGCTTGGCGCCGGCGTACGACTTGAGGGCACGGAAGAGCGTATCCGAAGTACCCTTGACCGTCAACTGCTTGTGGTCGAAGCTGTGTGCGTTGGCAGCGCCGCTTGATGCCTTAAGGGGGAGAGTAGGGAAGGAGCGGCGCAGATGGAGTAACCATGCCTTGAGCACTGGGGGCGGAACCAGATCGATCTTGTTCAAAATGAGAATCAACCGCTTGTTGCCACCATCTGCCATCATGATCTCGCGTTCAATTTCCTTAGAGCGGGTGCCCTCGGGGTCGCGGGCATCGAGCACGTATAGCACGACATCGGCGTTGTCAGTGACCTGTTTGAACACCTTGTCAAATTGGCGTCGTGAGCTCTCCTTTGAGTAAGACTTTGAGTTGACCAATGGCGGGGCAGACTCGTCAATAGTTGCGCCGCCCTCCTCATCGTCCTCGTCCATCTCATCGTCGTCATCTTCATCTTCCTCCATGTCTTCGTCGTCACTTTGATTATCGTCGTATTCTAAAGCACGGGCACGTGCTGAGGCAAGAAGAGCAGCCATGGGGTTGGAATCACTACCCTCGGCATCCATATCATCATCCATAATGTCGTTCTCGTCGATGTCGACAGCCTCGGTGCCAGTCTTGGCGGGCAGGCCTTCAGCCTTGCGGGTTCGTGCCTCCTCCCGAATGCGCTGTTGCTCCTCGGCCTTCATGCGCTTCCGCTCTTCGATGTCATGGAGAAGCTTGTCCTTGTTGGGGAAGAGATTGGGAATGCCGGGGTCCTTCTTAAGCTTGGACCGCCATTCAGGGTTCTGCAGAGAAAAGTGTCAGAATCTTCGATCAGAACTGTTATATAAATATTGTCTGCAATACCTTCTTTGCGAGCTTCTTTTGCTTTCTTTGCTTCTGAACTGCAGACTTTTCAATCTTGTGCCTCAGGCGGACAGGAACCCGCTTGGAAGTCTTGCCTATAGACCGTTAGAAGTGCACCGCATGACTGACTGCATGAGCGAGGGGTGAAAAAAAATGTCATACCGAAACCGCTCTTAGTAACCATTTTGAATGCACGTATTTGATAGCCACAGTAATGTGCACAGCAAACCCTCAAAGTCTGTCCGCAACGGAGTAGAAAAAGTTGAGTGCCAAGATTTCCCAGGCGATAAGCGGATTATCAGTTAGACCGATCTCCGGAATTGTAACATGACTAAGCTTGCGGAACAGCTGCCTAAATAGGTAAGTACGTACCCGACTCTGTGGATGCACCGGGTACAAGCTATAAATATATTAGATAACGCCATAGCCTCTTTTATCTTTCTCTTCAAGTTCTTGTTTCTTTTACTGTTGATAATCAGGAAAAATTGCTAACATATCTCTTGTCTTTCACTAAACATCGGCTTATCTGTCGACCACCATTGCCCTTCGCATCAACTATCCCCGCACCTTCGATCCCCCACCATGTCCTTAACAACAGGATCATTCTCCGCGCCTGCGCAGATCCACACGTTTGATGGTCTTCTTTCTGACTTTGATGGCACAATTGTGGACTCGACTGATGGTAACTAACCCCTCGAGTTGAGCCTTCCTAGGATCAATTGAAACCAATGCTAACTATCCGGTACTAAATAGCCATTGTGAAACACTGGCACGCGTGAGTCACATACCCACCGTAACAAGACCTCCGCGATCAGAATCTCTAATGTAAATTTCGTTTCAGAATTGGCGAGGAGCTCGGTGTTGACCCCAAGACTATCCTCGCAACCTCGCATGGCCGCCGCAGCATCGATGTAATGGGCCTGTACGATCAAACCAAGGCCAACTGGGACTGTAAGTCTACCGGCCCCCCCGAACCGGCCGCCTTCTTCCAACATAACCATAGGCCAAAAACTGACAATACTACCACAGATGTCAATGAAATTGAAGGCCGCATCCCAAAAGAATATGGGTCCGACGCCGTCGAAATCCCCGGTGGCCGCGACCTCCTTGCAGCCCTCGAGACCTCCGGGGCAAGATGGGGTGTTGTGACATCCGGCACGCGTCCTCTAGTCGACGGCTGGCTGGAAGTACTCGGACTCCCACGCCCTAAGAACCTGGTGACAGCAATGGACGTGCCGCTCGGCAAGCCGGACCCGCGCTGCTACCTGTTAGGCCGGAAGCAGCTTGGCATTGAAGAGTCAACTTCGATTGTCGTACTCGAGGATGCACCTTCTGGTATCCAGGCTGGTAAGGCTGCTGGGTTCAAAGTGATTGCGTTGAAGACGACACACTCGCTGCAGAAGCTTCAGGAGGCTGGCGCGGATTGGATTGTGGAAGATTTGACGAGCATTTCAGTTAAGGCAGTTGTTGATGGCCAAGTGCAGATCGAGATCAGGAACGCATATCAATAGATGGTCGTAACCATCTCGGTTTCGCCGATTCGCTGCTGCATGGGCAGGGATGTACTGTTACCTTCGCAGCTGCGCAACAAGGTTCCCCGACTTTGATACACAGCCTTAAGGTCTCATGGTTTTTTTAAATTAAAGTGCGCTACATACAGGTTAGATTGGTACATACATACACACATGCATTTGGACTTAATTGACAACCTTGGATTTGTTGAGTTTGACACGGAAGTCAGTCGAGCCAGAGAAATTTTAAACCGGCCAGTGTACACCGTTTGTTCGTATTTCCCTGGAAGACGATGACTACAACCGGTGGTGTTGAAAAAGAGTACCTGGTTTCTACCTAGAGAGGGAATCCGCTTCGTTTATTTGGTTACTGTCTTAGGCTGTGTATGTAATTTGTTCTGATGCCGTTGGGCCTTCTGGGAAGAGCTGTACCTTGTCCAAGCACTAGGCTCTGCATATTTTGAGATGAAAAAAAAACACAAAGCCTTGAAGTAGCTCAGGTGGTTCCCCGGGCGGGGATGTAATCAAGCCAGGCAAGGTGCAAGATGCAAGATAGAAAGTACGAATGCACGAGTTCCACACACAACCCACCATGTGTAGCTACCTTGAAGCTAGTATGGAATTTACCTTAGCCTTACACATCTGTTGGCGGTGCTATTATTGCAGTACGGGGAACGGATTATGGATCCGGTTGATGACAGCCGACACATCCCATAATAAGGATGGTGACACGTCTAGATGATTCGGCGGCAAGGATCAAGCTGTACAGCTGTTGACACAGTAACTAGAGGCCCTAGACCACCATGGAGTGTGTCACTTACACCCTTTGTCGGTATGCAGCAAAGCAATCCTTGCAGCTCAAAGCCAGATTTATTCGGCAGGGCGTTGCAGCATGCAAATGCACCTGCTACTCAAATCTGATCCAATCCTTCGGGCAGGGAGGGCCGCGAACTACCGTTCATGCACGCTTGAGGCCTGGGTTGATGTGGAACCAGGCCGTGAGCAGGGAAATGCATCCCCGAGGAGGATGACTTCAGATTTGGAAAACGATGCCAGATCTGCTCTTGTTGGGGCTTGGCGTTCTGGCTGCAGCTGCAGAAATCTCTGCAGCTGCAGCCAACTGTTTCGGGGAAGGATTTGGATGCTCACGAGAATGTGGATGCTTTTTTCTCTCGGCATTTTTGAAACAAACGCATTGCGCGGATGCCATTGGTGGGCTAAGTGATTTGGGGATAGGCACATCCTACCTAATAGGGGGAGCTTGGGGCGAGAGCAGAGCTTCTCTCCAATGGCGCCGAGGAAGGCCACTCAGCCGGTGAGAATAGCATGCAAGGGGGCTAGGCTGCATCCAGCGCATGGGTCGGGATTGAGGTGATGTTCGAATGCAGACTCCTGAATATCATCAAAATTGACTGGACCAAGAAAAGCGATGTAGGAGAGTCTTTTTTTTTCAATTGGAGCAGTCGCTCGTGAACCTATGAAGTTGTACTCCGTAGTCTGTATGAAGATGAATGATGACGGATGAGGGGCAAATGCAATCTCATCACTGTTCTCATGCAATTCCCGAATTTCGATCTGAACCAAATTAGGGATGCACTGGGTTGAAGGGGGCGACCAATCATGTTACAGATTGTTCTTCTGTGGCTATGTTTTAGTTGCGCAGACCATTCTGCAAGCTCGAGCACTAGCCCCATGAATGTGACAAATACAAAATCCCAAAGTTATCCACATGCAGGACGCTCGATATAATTGCGCACCGCCACAGACCTTTTATCAGCGCCACAAAGAAGTTCTAAGAACGGCCATGGGGATCCATCACATTGACAGATCTTCACAGCTCTGCCACCTGGCTTCTGGCTTCTGGCCACCGAAATGCTCCGGGTCCCTTAAATGCCCTGTTAACTAGTCATGAAAATCACTAAGCCATGCATGGCTATGGATAGGGGTTTGATATCTTAATCAGAGGATCTCCAATTGAAACCCCACCTATAAAGATTTGATACACCCGAGGGATGTCAAATTTTGCTGCCACACTGTCGATCATGCTCTCAGGTATTCCCGGGGATTTGTGCCCCATTCTCGATCCTCTTTCATGTTTATACACTCGGGCACTATGTGGTTGTTGTAAGGTTCGATAATTGGGATTGTATTTCCGGCGCAACGGTTCACATGAGATCCAATAAATAGTCGGATGGGGCGGAGGGATCCGTGCGAAAAATACGTTAAGGATCGACCCAGGGGTCGTCATGGCAGATCCCCCGACTAAGTTGATCTGTGTGTAACAGCCTAAATAGGTACCAAAGTACGAGAATGGGCTTCATAGTACCTTGTGCTCCGTACTTCGTACATCACTGCGGCAGTTGAAGGCGCAGAAAATATCAAAAATCGGGGATTATTGGCCAGACTGAAGTAGTATTAAACTGGTCCGTATCCACGCTGCTCGGATCTGTGTATGGTGTACTCCGAACTGTTCTCGCCATTAGGAGCATGAGACCATTTTGTCCGTGGGTGGGTGGGGCAGGACGTGCCAAGATGAAGATGAGCTTAATCGCTCAAAGGGAAGAGTCATGAGACCATCGGAGGTCTCATCAAGTGTGATGTGAGGACACTGATGCTCGCCCTGGTGCACATGAAGCTTGAATGGGAAACCTAGGTTTTTAAACACCGTCACAACCACATCTATCACAGCATTACTTCCAAAGAGCCAAAAAAAATGGCACACCGCGAGACAAAGTTTGAGGGAATCCAAGAGCCATGTTGTGTACGAGTACTCTCATATGATCTACCCAGTCCGTGGGGCTACTAATTCAACATAGTCTCAGACAAAGTCTTTGCTACGGAATTTTTTCCGGATTGATCCCTCCTCACTCACCACGGTCTTTTGGTCTACATGATTGGCTCACCAAGCATGATCAACCTTGAATCACTATAGCGTTGGAGGCTTTAGGGTCAGACCTTGCTACCAAATAGAGCAGTCAAGGGGGCAGATCATTTAATTGGGGACGAGGGGTGCTCTTGTGGCTTCCAGCTCGAGCAGAGGTTCCGCTAGACCGGTTCACTGTTGCCTTGTTCTCTCCGTAAGTCACTATTCATGTGCCAACGTCAGAGTTTGGGCTCCCCATTCTGTAGGCGATCGTATCATGGAGAGAAGGCAGGCGTACGGGGGTCTCTCGGACTGGTTTGAGATTCGTCGCTCAAAGGTCTTGAATGTTTTGCTGTCAATTGCTCTGAACAGCCAAAGCGAAACATCCTGAGATGTCCCATAATGCTCCGTGCTATGGGACATATAAACTGTAGCTGTCCAGCTACCAAATTGAGCGTGAGATGAAAAGAAGTTGAGACCCAAAAAAGGACCATCGCATCATGGGCAGTAGTCTCCGGATGCCCGGGCTGTGATCATCTTTGAGCCCATGTGCATGTTAAGGGGGTGGACAAAGCTGGCTGCAACCCTCGTGACTGGCGTGCATGGAACGACTTATTTCAAGACGTTTAGCGCTTGTCGAGAAGGGTTCTACCAGAGCCCCGGGAAAAGGCAAGATGGTGTCACACACACTAAAAACATGGTTGGGGTCTGGAAGGAGCCGAATAACAGGGGGGGGGGCACAAAATCTGCCCAGAGTGAGGAGCGCCACATCCAAAGAAAGAGACAAAGAAAAAAGCTCTGCAGATCCTTGAGTGATCGACGGGGGATCTGTCGACTATTGATGTTTAGTTTGTCTTGGCCGCTGCCATGCGCCCGCACTAGCATCGATTTGTGCTAGCGGAAAGTGGAACCTGGTCAGACACAGTTACAGATGTGATACCCAGTTGCTTCAGGAGTCAATAGTCTACGGAGTATTGTACAAAGTACCTTTGAACATGGAGTACGGCGTAGACATCATCATTCTCCATAATCGTGGCATTCCTCGAATCACAGAGCCGTATTGCTGCACCGAGTGACTGCGCTCGATCGTCTGACCCAGAGCACCGGTCCCCAGTCACCCCGATCACCCCGAAACGATGAACTCTTGAGAGGCTCGACCGGGATGTTTAGGAAAAGAAATGTGACTGCTACCCAAAGCAGATTGATTATTCAAGTTCGATCACGGTACAGAGTACTCCGTACTCTATACTCTGCACCGATATGTACAGCTTTATAATGTCTTTTGTATAACTAGTAACTACAGGCTACAAACATATGTATTCGGTCCTTTGCACAGCATAGAATATGGCTCAAAAATTAGGTGCTTGCTAGCAGATCCACCGATTTTTCTCTCTAAATTAATTTCTTCTATGGTGGACATAAGTTTCTCTGCAGCGATGGGCACCTCCTGGGATCAGACATGACGCTAATGCAGGAACTGGGATTATCTGCGTTTAATTTTTTTTTGGGTTTGTGAAATTCGTGGAATACCAAGACAGTGGTCCCCAAACAACAAGGAAACAATACAGTGTGTGTATCATTTCGTATATATTAAATTACCGCGGGAGACATCCATGGATCCGACCCAAATTCGGCTCTCCGCACTTGAACCCTGGCTCACCTTTGTTTACTCCGAAGCTTACTATCGATGTGTATCACATCATGATTTCCTCCAATTCTATAGCAGGTGTAGGGAAATTTAGACCGGTATTTCCCACCGAGCATTTACGAGAAATCCGAATCAGTCAAATAGGCCTCTATGAAATCCGTCATACATCCATGTTAGAATGGGTTCACGAGGGGAGTCTGGACGGGATCGGAATTTTGTTCTGGGCCAACTCTATTCTGAAAAGAAAACCAAAAAAAAGCCCAATGATAAAGGACATATCGCAAATAAGAATAAAAATAAAGAATATTCAAATCAAGTCAAATGTGACTCTGATGCAAGAGTTAGGCCGCCACCCCCTACCGAGCGGGCGGTAGCGCGACTCCACGGGCTAAAAAAGGATGAAATACGGTGGGGGTAGTTCAGCCTTCAATTTGTGTGGATTTTCTTCGCATCAATGGATTGTTACTCCGTTGGTGGGAGAGAGGAAGACGATCCCAGATCTGAATTGCTTTTCCCGTTGCAATTTTTATTTATTTAATTTTACTTGAAGTACTCCGTACAGGTACCCGCAATCCCGGTACTCACAGTACAGAAGCCATTACAGGCACAGACCTTTTACAAGTTTCATCTGATTACCACCCGTTACTGGACAATACCCACCAATCACCCAATCATACCAAATTCTTCGGCAGCTCTGTACGGTGCTTTACCAGCCGTCACCCCCGATCTTCCCAGCGCCTCCAAACTCCATCCTTCTTTCTCTTCATCTTTTCTTCCCACAGTCTTTCCTTTACGTTCCTTGAGCTCTTTCTTTGCTTTTTTCTTGGTTTATTTTTCCATGCACACTCTTTTGGGTCCCTAATTCCCGAGTCTCTCCTTAATATCGACCATTATCACAAGCTACAACTGCTTATTTCTTTTTCTTGAATCACGGACTGCCCGTACTGCCACTCTTTACATTTACAAGGTCCCTGTCTCCATCGCCATAGGCTGACCAAACCAAATCTATTTCATGATATAGACTTTGCTCCTCGAAGCTGCCACTCTCTTGTGCAGCATCTCCATTCCCGTCTCTCTATATCTCTCTCGCGCCTCTCCACAACTTTCTCTCTCCTATAACTCCCTACTTTCCTCTTCAGACCGCCATGAGTTATATCCACCCCTCATGGAACTATCAGGGTCACCAGGCCATCCCAATGGACCAACATATGGCATATGACCCGTCCATGGTCCCTCCTCCGATGATGCACCCTATTGACGGCTATATGTACCCACACCCGCCAATGGAGATGATTGACTATTACCACCAACCGATTATGGACTACGACGAATATACAGAAAATCTGTCGCGGCCACGGTTGACCAAGGAACAAGTTGAAACCTTGGAGGCCCAATTCCAGGCTCATCCGAAACCAAGCAGCAACGTCAAGCGTCAATTGGCGGCTCAGACAAATTTGAGCCTGCCTCGCGTTGCAGTACGTAAAACTAGAGGCTAGAACCTTGTTGTAAAACCAGAGGGCTAACCGAGTGAACAGAATTGGTTTCAAAACCGTCGCGCTAAGGCCAAGCAACAGAAACGCCAGGAGGAATTTGAAAAGATGACGAAGGCTAAGGCGGAGGCGGAGGAGGCTGCTCGCCGGAAATCAGAGACCTTGGACCAATTTTCTGGATCTCGAAAAGGATCAATTGCCAATGAGGAATCAGAGAGATCCGCTACTCCTAAGCAAACACCTTCCACCACATCCAGTGGCCATGCCAAGACAGATTCCACATCCAGTCGTTCCAAGCACCACAAAACAAAGAGCGAGTCGGCAAGAGAAGCAACTTTTGCATCTTTGCAGAGGGCGCTGAGTGCTGCTTGTGCTGCTCGGGACCGATTCGGTCGCCGGATCAACCCCCGGAGTAAGGACGAGTCGGTTCCCGAAGAAGACGAAGAAGAAGAGGCAGTGTCCCCTTGCTCAATGCCACCACCAAAATCGGCCACTACTGCGGATGCTCATGGAAATCTTGCCAACATAAGCTCTTCTTTTTCGGGTTGGTCTAGTATCAAGGAGGAACCAGCTTCTTGGGGATCCGGCGAGCACAATCAGAATGTGGGATACAGCACTACAGAGCAGACCTCATATTCCACTTGCCACCAATCAATGGCAGAGATGTTGAACCCTTCTCACTCTGTGCAGCATAACTTAGACGTCTATTCTAATCACCTGCCCCCTCACGGGGAAGAGTGGTCTGAGGAAAGGGAATCACGACACGACAGTCTCGTCTACGGCAACATACAATATCCCATTTCCATTCAAGCACCAAATATCTCGGTCACACGTCGTGAGTCTTCTGATGCGCTGACCGCATCACTGGAGGGCATCGGAATATGCACTACCGCCCAACCTGAGCTGTCTCAGTCTGATGACCGAGTGGAGGCGAATTGCTGGAAGGAACCTGGAAAGGAGCTTGATCTCGCTGCACGCCGCAAGCGTCCTCGCCCCGCTGCCATTGGCACCTCGGGAACCCGTCCTTTGGTGAACTCGACCTCGATGTCCTCGCTCTCGCCCACCGCTCGTATGCCTAACTCTGTTGTCAGTAACTCAATGAGGCAATCCAAGTCAACCCAGAGCCTCAACTCCCGGTATGCTGGTGTGAGGAAGGCATCGGCTGCTCAGCGATCTCCACTCAATTTTACCTTTGCGGATTCTGGGTCTATCAAGAAAGCCGAGAAGATGCTGCGACCCTCGGTCTCAACCACTAGCCTAGCTCCACCAACTCCCTTGACCCCGCAAGACCTCCAACATTTCATGCCTTCCTCCCCCACGGAAAGCAACTACTGCTTGTCAGCCCAATCCACAGCCCACTACTTCCCTACCTCCCAACCCATGCAGGTCAACATGGCATCACCCCCTGCTACGCCAATGAATATTTACTCCCCTTTCCCGTACCAAAACGTGCCCCCGCCGATTTCGGCACCGGCTCATGTATCTTCCTTCCCTGAATATATCACGTGTGATTCGGTTCCTATGCCAGCCCGCAGCTGGGCTGATACTGCTTCCATATCTTCGCCCGAATACCCGGCTGGTCTTCAGGTGCCTCATTCAACTACCGTTTCGCCCGTGGGTTATAACACAACCACCGACCACACCGGACAGGTCTTTCGCATGGAATCGGTCTCTTGCTCCCCGTCTTTGATTTACTCGATTGAAGACACCGACATTCCTGGCTCTGTCGAGCTTGCGGAGAGAAAGCGGACCGAATTTATGATGCACGAATTCCCAGAGCACGATACCCACTTTGGTGGCCATCACTTGCCATTGATGCAGAAGCCGAAAGCCTACACGTTCGCAAACAACACGACGCCAAGTAACTACCCTTCCTAAGCACGGGTCTGAAGATCTTTCCCTTACTACGGATGTATGAAAAATGCGCGACAACTTTTGGTGTTTTTGGTCTGGGACGAGTTCACTTCGCAAAATTTTCGCCTCCCCACCTTCGTTTTCCTACACTTTCCCTCATAAGGGAGATGTTGTCTACTGAACCCTCCGTGTGCGGAGAAGTACTGTCACTTTACGTCTTCTATATACTTTTTTTCGTGTTTCTTTATTCGGGTGTATTTACCGGGATTTTTACATATTTGGAGCATTCCATGCATGTTGTTTATTGGCCTGGGACTGTTTTGGTTGTTTTTGGTGTCTGATAAGACCTTCTAATTTCTACGAGCTCCCTCACGGGAACTTCGAGACCCACTTTACCTTCTAACTTTGATCATTTTGTCTTTGCCTTTGGCCTCTTTTTCATTCCTGTGATCTGGAATCGGTTTTCGCGGATGTGATTTGAACTTGGGTTTGCATATGGCTTTGGCAGCATTCGACTTATTTTGACTTTACCTTGATACATACATTTACTATGTATCTATACCATCTCATTTCTCGCAATCAGAAAAGGAGTTGATCTCTTACATTTTTGACATTTACCCGAAGTAAATAAATCTCCGATAACCAAACACTGATCAACCAGCGGATGGTTATGGCTCGCCCTTTCTAGCTTGCTCATACGAGTCCTCCGGACAAATATTATTCCAAAGTGTGTGGAGTACGTTCTCTGTACTTGGTACATCGTGCAACGAGGAATCCAGCACGTGCGTCCGACCATAGGTTGTCGTGTCCAGAACCGTGGAACGCGGAAAAGCGCCACTGGAACTTCCGGTACCTTTACTACCACGTGCGCTATAGTCTTCCAAGCTTTGTGTCGAATATAAAAAGGAATGCGTTTGTCGATCTGATCTTAAGAGAGAAGGGGAAAAAACGAAACTTTTGGTTGAAATTCTTCGTTGAAACTGTTCGTTGAAACATTGGAACTGAAACCCGCGTATCTCCGTTTTCAATGAGACTCTCCACTCTCGGTTCAGCCCTTGTGGGCCTGGCTGTCGCGCAGGCATCGACCATCAATTACACTGCGGTCACAGGTTACTTTCTGCAGGATGAGGACTCAACCGATGCCTCTACATTTGACTATGTAAGTGAGGTGCAAATCCCGGGGAAACAAGAATGTTTATGCATCAAGAAATCTTTCTACATCGATGTCTTAAACTGGTCAGTCAGTTGGGTCCACTAACATGTTCAGACGGCGGAGAACTTTGGCCTGATCGGCCGCGCATATCCCGCAGACAAGGACTACAGAGAAATCGAGTCTCCAACTCAATGGGAGCGCTTCTACCACCAGGTCACCAATCTGAATGAGCATTCCCCTCCGCACATCGAGTACAAAGTTCTGTTCCTTGGTCGACATGGGGAAGGGTGGCACAACGCCGCCCAAACCTATTATGGAACACCAGCGTGGAACGTAAGTCCCCTGCCTGTCACCTAAGCCTCGCACTAGGACTAATCTAAGTATCTCCATTCAGTGCTACTGGTCCGAACTCAGTGGCAACGGCACAGCAAGCTGGGCAGACGCGGCCCTCACGCCCGGCGGTGTGACCCAAGCGCTGAAAGCAAATGAGTTCTGGCAAAAGGAGATAAACGAACAACGAATCCACACCCCAGACCAGTACTACGTCAGCCCACTGACACGCACTCTCCAAACCGCCAACCTAACTTTTGGGGATCTGGACCTGCCCGAGCACAGTGCTAAATTCAAGCCGACCGTCAAGGAACTCTTCCGCGAAGGAATCAGCATCCACACCTGCGACCACCGCCGCAGTCGCAGCTACATCCATGACCTGTTCCCCCACTGGTCCATTGAGCAGGGGCTCACCGAGAATGACGAGCTGTGGAATGGCGTAACGGCTGAGACTAGTGATGCACAGGATGCTCGTAGTGCCCAGGCCTTGGGACAAGTTTTCTTTAACTTGTCCAAGAAGAAGTCCTTTGTGTCGATTACGTCGCATTCGGGTGAAATCTCGTCTATTCTGAGGGTGATTGGACACCGGACCTTCGGATTGAGCACCGGTGCTGTTATTCCGGTGTTGGTCAAGGCCGAGAGGATTGGAGGCAAGGCCCCTATTACTTCTTCTGTGCCTTGGGAGGTGAGCCCGCACTGCACCGAGCCTCCGGTTGCATCGGCTACGGCTTGTGTCTGTCCTTCCAGTGCGGCACCTGTTACGACGCCCTTGGCTACCGGATTTTAAGGGTGATTTGTAGACTAACTTAGGTAGATTAGATGGTTTTACTTGTACGGGATAGACCTAGACCTGGCGCACATTTCAAATTTTGCATTTAATGATAACATTTAATATCACCAAGGACGAACATGTAAGATACAAGAATAATTGGCCACTTACGCGACCTCGTCCTTTCAAGGTTGTTGACGTAGATCGGCGATCTGTTCCATGTGGCTTAAGATAGTTTTTGAGACGTTATATCCAAGATTCTTCTGCAATGTCTTCTAGATCCTAGATATTATTTATGATATCTTTCGGGATGTTCCCTCTTCACCTCTATTGGTGTTTACCCTACCAAACCCCCTCTCCGGCGAAAAGAAAAGGTAATATAGTAACTTTCCATGAGTCACAGCAAGATCAAATGAAGAAAAAAAAATGGGAAGCAAAAAGGATCGTCCCCGGGAAGGCTTGAACTTCCAACCTCCCGATTAACAGTCGGACGCGCTAACCAATTGCGCCACGGAGACTTGATTGTGACATGTTAGTGTTGTTGGCTTTATCTCTGAAGACCCACACAATGGGTTTGAGCTGGCTACCAGTGAACAATTCAAATAAGGTGCTGTAAATAGGAAGAGAAGTTAGATACCCAAGTAGAACTATACAAACCTGGAAGATTCCATACAACGCACTTCAAAAATTTAGAAATTAGTAATCTCGTTGCAAACGTTAATGACAACAACCTTGGAACTTCATGAGGTTCTCTATATTTCACTGCGATTTGGTTCATTTTGTGGTTTTATGTACATATTATGTCGCTTCTGTTGGATGTGCAAATCATGTATTGTCCCTCTCATCTTCTTTAGACGTGGATATACCTCACTGCTACATATTCCAAGGCACTATCAAATTTTTCGCCTCGTTTTAACGGCGGTAAGGATGTTATCCGGTAGTTACAAGGCGGTGCACTCTGCTTGCCTGAGGGCATTCATCAAAATCAACCTTTGCTTTTTGTTTACTTTTTTAACTTAATATCTTCCGAGTACCATTGGTGATCTCCTGAGACGTGCCGTGTCCTTCTTGGATCTTTTCCGATTCAACTACAGCAATGATTCCATCACAGGCCCAAAGTCCACCACAATTGCGGCTGTCTGCAATGGCCTTGAACAGCTCGCCATCTGCGCAGCTGGCTGCGATGGCCCTAAACAGTCCGCCCATTCAGAAGGCTCCAGGTGATGCTACCAAGGTTTCCACTTCCTGTCCCTCTTTGTTTAACGAGACCTCCCCTCCCGGGACTCCTCGCTTGGCTGAAAGTCCTTCCCCAACCCCGAGCCTTCCTAACACGCCTTCCCCGCTCGACAAGCGCCTATCTGACAGTTTGAATCACCCTCCTTTGCGGACTCGTCGTGATGATGCGCGGTCTGATCAAACCTCTAGCGAGATCCTGTACTTGGCACGGGAGCTATCGCTCCCATATGAAGCCTGGGAAACGGTAAGTACTACACTGGGTCAAATCAATAGAACGCATATCTATTCAGTCAACTAATTTGGCCTCAGGTCTTCTACGCTACGCTTACTCATTTCTCATATGAGGAATGTGACTTCATTTATGGGGATTTCTACGAACACCCGGCGACCAAAAAGACACTTTCGAATTTGAGACTGGTGAATCGAATCTGGAACCGAATTGCAACTCCTCTCCTTTTTCGAAATATCCAGGCTGTCGTCGGATACTCTGCTGGTCGACCTCTTGATAGCATCCTGAAGATCTCGGAAAGCCCACACGCCGTTTACGTCCGCGACGTGCGCTTTGGCTTTGTGGGATCATGGCTGCCTGGACTGGATTATGATCGGTACATCGACGACCTAGCAGCAGGAGCTCTTCCGATCCTGATCAGTCGTTTCCAAAATATTCAAACATTGCGATTGCAAACTCCCACTGTGGTAGACACATTCAGTGAAGAAGGACAACTTAAGCCTCCGATGCTTGCCAAGCTGACAAATTCTCTTGTCCATACTTTACGCTTTGTGCCCGTCCCGAGACTGAGATGTCTCCATATGTCTATGCCAACCACCGCAGAATTTGCTCGTTTCTTTGAGTCAAACAGTTACGCCAGAAACTTCACAAACGTCTTCGCACAAATCGAAGAGCTACACATCACCATAAATGACAGCACTGGCCCTGATGGCAGACGAGACCCGAAATGGCCCCGCTCAGTGATCAAGGCCAAGTATCCACTCGATCGATTTGCTCCGTATCTCGTCCAGCTCATCTCTTACGCAGAGCAGATCCAGGTCTTGAGCCTGGATGCTCGTACTTGGTTTGATGTGTCTGATCTGGAAGCAGAAGGCCTTACTAGGCTGAAAAGCTTCCGGCTGGAAGGTGTGAGAATCAAAGATGAAACTCTCAGGAGGATTTTCATACTGGCTCGCAATACACTGCTTCGCATTGAATTGGTCCACGTTCGGCTCATGACTGGTACCTGGGAGGATGTTTTCATTCATCAAGCACTTCCTCCCTGGAAGCTTGATTGGCTTCGTGTTGATGGATGTGGCTATTCAATGACGGGCACCAGCGCTCATTTGGTCAGTTATTCCTTCTCGCACTATCCGACTGCGTTCTGGACCCTCCATGGCCGGGACTGGTTGGCTCTCACGCACTGGAGATCGGTGGTGAATACAAACCGTCATAATAAGGGACTGCCTAGATGTCCGCATTGCTTTTTCCCGTCGATTACCCCCGTTCATAATCCCTAATTAGAGGGATGCATATTGAGCACGATTCAAGGAACAAAGAGGTCACGCGGGGCGATATCACGATTTGTGACTACTAATCTTGATTTCTGGGCGCACTTTCGGGGATGAACTTTCTTGGGGGGGGGTTCCCTCGCGGTGTCTACCTGATGACTAACTACAGTGTGTAAGCGCTCGCCTTTCTTCATCACCTGGTCGTCTAGATCTCCAGGAGCTCATGTATGTATAGATTGTACCTCGATTCTACGTCTGGTCGTCTTGATCTCCAGACATGACATGTACTTTCATTTTTCCTTTTTTACCCTCCCTTTTTTTTCAGACGATTTCTTTCCTAGATCGGTTGACTTGTTTGTGGTATTATAGTGTCGTGGTACAAGTTTAGGGCTATGAAATGGGAGGTGATAGAAGCCAGTTGGTCCCAGGATTACTTGATGGCAAATAACTAGTTCATTGGTTGGTAACTTGCATCTGGTGCGCTACGGACTTGAACCGTACAAAGAGCAGATACTGGCGAAGTGGATCTCACCTATTTCAATACTGGAAATTTTTGAACTGTGAAAATATCATGCCTTTTCTTCTTGTCTTTGTTTTGTCCTTCACTCAAAATGTTCAACCCATCATCAACTCCGATGCATAGTTGAACGGTCACATATATTGATTGAATTGAACGCTTCATCAAATTAGTCTCCGTGGCGCAATTGGTTAGCGCGTCCGACTGTTAATCGGGAGGTTGGAAGTTCAAGCCTTCCCGGGGACGTTTGTTTTTCAGTTTTTGTCAAATCTATAAAGGGCATTTCTGTAATTTGCAAGGAAATACTCTATATAGCTTTAGTTATTCCAAAATTTTTGGAGGTAACAGGTGAATGGTAGGGTGAGGTTAGTTTAAACTCAATAGTCGAACTATACTCACTGTACTACGTCATCTTATCCGGCCGGGTACTGCATCAACGTTTTATGTGGCCGATCTTAAATTGGTTTGTTTTTTTTTTCTCTCCGTTGTATTCAACGGATGAAATTAGATACTTGTTAATGTAGGCATTGGTCTAACTATGGGATATGAAAGACAAAAATACCGCTTCTCTGCTAATAATCTCACTCTTTATTCTGAATAAACCCGGTTGTGTATTGCTCCACTCATTGTCTGGTGCACCTCAATATATCTTGGTGGACGCTGGTTGTATGGGATTACTGGTGACCAGGGGTGGTGAGGGCCTGGGTGGTGTTAAGGTGTGTGAGTATGAGGAGATGCACTTGGCTGATTGTCGGAATTCTTGGTCGTTGTGCCTTGGTTTCTACGGTCAGCGACCACTCAACGCATCTCACATTCCACTATGCACTTCGACGTAGTTCTCTCTTGACTCTGGTCCGCCATATTGTTGTCGCACTTTTGTGTATTTCTCGATATATTTATGTATAGGTCTTACTTTCTTGGGAGGGGACAATGGATAATCTACAGTGCCGGCTTGTGGATATTTTTGATTTGGGACAAGTCTGGTTGGTTGCCTAGTTTACATTGCGGTAGTGATAGGCAAACCAACCCACTGGGAATCAAATTTGGGACTGGGCTCGTTGTAGGCAAAATCAACCTCCGGGGCATGGAAGCAGATTTGGTGGCACTCGAGCAAACAATGCCACTACTTGAGATTCGCCGGGGGGCCAGGCTACTCTTGCTCTCTTGGAGCAAAAACTCCAGACGTCTCCCTGGGGCTTAACAAAGTCCCTCCTGGCTGGTCAGCTTTTTTGGTTGCTTCTTTCCTAGTCTGTTTGTTTTGTACTGATATGCTTAATGGTGTATATGTGACTTCGAGATGTGTCTTGTGGCTGCTTGGTTGGTTGTAGGTCGGGACTATCCATAGCCCTTTCCGGGGGTGTGGTGTGAATCTGTACTTTCCCTATTAGTGGTGTCTACTTGCCTTGTCCATTCCGTGGGCTGGGTTTATGTGGCATCTGGCGACTTTGGGCAACAGGTTCAAGATGCCCTCGAACAGGCCGGCGCAATTGTATATGTAATCATCATCAGGACACCGAATCTCAAGGAAATCACCCCCTTTCTTTTGGCGTTTCACATGGAAATATAGAGGCATACATATTTGATGGAAGCCTCAAAATGTTTTACCATCATTAGACAAAGGGACTTGAATGGTGTGCAGGAGGATGCGCTATGATATCAGGGCTGTTTGCTGAAGAACAAAATTTGGCTTTATAATTGCAAGGTTTGAAACCAATTCACCAAACAGGTCTCCGTGGCGCAATTGGTTAGCGCGTCCGACTGTTAATCGGGAGGTTGGAAGTTCAAGCCTTCCCGGGGACGTTTCTTTTTTTGTTCTTGGTTCTTTTTTGGGCACCCGTCTTGGCACCTGTCTACTAACATGGACAGAGAACAATTACTTCAGTTTTTACACCCCATATTCCCCAATTAGAATGGAAGATGGTAAGAAAGAAAGATTCAAAGATGAATCTAGTTGCCGTGGGAACTATGATTGAAGTTAACATTTCTTGCATGGAACAATTCTATCCGTCCGTCTACTTTGCATCTACGAGGGAAAACCGCGATCAATCTGACACCAGCCAAGAGATGTTATCACGAATGAAAAGAAACCAGACATGATCAAAATCCCACAACAACTGAATTCGGGAGAAGAAATAAAGTTACTATCGTTAGAAAGAGGTGAAGACTACATGTCAGCACACGGAGACACTGTTAGTTGACAAATATACAAGATAGGGCATAACAAGAACGAAGCCCCGAAGAATTGATTCATAGGCAAGGAAACTTAATTTTAAACACAGGAAAAGTAATCATATGCATAGGGCTAAGCAGATGCAAGCGAACAAGGATCATACATCTCTCTGAACGGTCAAGAGACGACTAGACATCTCGCCAAGATACAAGAAAACTAGACTGTCCATAGCGATTCATCCTCTATCGACCATGTATAAGAAACAAAGCAAAAACGTACATACTCATAATCCTGTAACACTCTGTCCAAAAGGGTAGAGTAAACGCCGAGCATAAGGACCCAACGCCGGTAAAGGCATAACAAAAAGACAAGAAGGAAGGAGGAGTAAGCAAACAAGGAGTCAGGAACCTCGTCCAAGTGCAACTCAGCAAAGGGTATAGGAAGATTGACCCAGATTAACATTAACCGAGCATCCTTCACCATGGGATGCATCGAAAAATGCAGCAAAACACTGGAACATCAGAAAAGGGGAAAATTTCAGGTGTGAATGAAAGCATGTGGCGAAAGTGAAGAAAAATAATCACGCCTCAGATGGTAGTGTAAAAACTGTCAAAAAACGACGCCAATCTAGATAACGCCGGCTGCCGTGAGCTAATACGACCAGCCACCCCCCAAGGGGCTGCCGGACTGGCCCGGTTGAAGCTGTCCGGGTTGCATCGGGCCACCAGGTCCGGTAGGCCACCCAGACATGCCACTGCCTGTCATGTTCATGGAAAGACCCGCCTGTTGAGGGTTTCCGCCCATGAAGGGTTGGCCACCATGAGCTTGATTGGGTGGATACATGGCTCGTGTCATGCCCGGATAACCGGCCGGGTTGGCTCCCGGGTATCCCATACCCTGCATACCCTGAGCCTGCGCCGCCTGGGGATGTTGCATCTGGGAATATTGCTGAGGCATCTGAGGTATTGACTGTCGCTGTTGGTTGCGAGGAGACTGGTGGTGGTGTTGCTGCTGCTGCGGATGATGTCCGAGGGGAGATGGGCTTTGCTGCGGAGCTGCAGACAGTTGTTGACCATACTGAGACATCCCAACGCCCTGGTGACCTGACGACGACAACGGGGACGGCTGTGGCTGCGGGGGTGGCTGTCCCCAAATCTGCTGCGGTTGCGGTGAATATCCGTATGGAGGGGCTTGAACCATACCACCGCCCATGGACTGGTTGGATCGCTGTTGCATAAGATTGGGTTGCATGTTTGGTGGCATTCTTACAGGGGACTGGCCAACGGACTGTGGGTGAGCCTGTGGGGGGTAGTTTTGCTGTCCACCCATCATTGGATTAGGCTGCATCGGAACCTGTTGAGGGAGCATATGCTGCGTATGAGCGGGATTTGGCCTCCCCACCGATGGAATCTGTGATACCTGAACAGGCTGTGACACAGATAAACCCGAGTCAAGAGCAGTATTAGACTGGGTCTCTGAGACTGGGGCCTCGCGAGGCTTTGAGTAAAATTCATCCAAGCCTTTTTGGCGAAAATTGCGCTGGATGCTCAACATTTTGTTGAAATCAGATGTGTGTTGGGCTTGATTCATGAGGTCTGCGGCTGAGCTAGTTTGCGTGCGGTCGTGGTAAGGTTGTCCTGCCATCTCCTGGCGTGCACGAGGCATAACGGTGTAGTCCCTAAGCCGCGGGTCATCCGTCGTCGACATATGAATCATGGGGAGTGGAGCGATGGGCATAGAAGATTCAGAAGTATCCAGGGAGAGCCCGTGAGGCAATGGCTCGATGGAATTACTGTAGACAACATCATTATGAGGCAGCGCCGGCAACAGGTTTGTGGCTGGCTCTGAAATAGAGCCATCCCGAGCCTTAGCCGCCCCCGGGCGTTTCTCACCCGCGAGGTCATCCTCCGTGAAGCCCTGCTTCCTAGCCTTGGTCTCCCAGTAGTCATCTCGAACCCGACGGCCATTCACAATCACCCGGCTCCCGAACTGTCGGAACATGGATCTGGCGGAGACAATAGCGATTTGGCGGGACCGATAGGAATATGGTAGGATATCTTGCTGGATAAGATCGTCTTTCTCGATTTGGGAGGCAATGATTTTATGCAACGATCGGTTCTTGTTGAACAAAAGATAGGAATCACGATAGTTCAACACCCTCGCACATTCAGTTGCAAGCATGAATAGCTTGCTGCCCCGGAGGGGGACGCAGAATGTCCGGCATTTATACTCACGGCCACCCTGCGGATATCCCATAGGATCTGCTTTGGTCTCTCCTGCTTCATCGAACTCTTTAGGGATGTACTCATCGCCCTCTTCATT